AACACTGGGGATTTGCTTTGGGCTGACCACATGAACAGCCAAGGGAGGACTACCATTCAGAAATTACTTCTCAGTGGCACACCGACACTATGTAGGAAAAGGGCACCTCTATCCACCAGTGCCATCTCACTTATTTCTCCCTCAGGTCTCCCAACAGTAAAACCTCTTCCTCTCAGCAGCAGCTGCAGCCTCCTGTGCTGAGTCCCTCAGACTGTGCCACTCTGATTGAACAAGGGGAATATTTTTGTCTCTTAGATGATCCATTCCTCAATGCAAATTTAAATCTCTCTAATAGAGCTCCTAAAACATCAGGAGAGGAGTAAGAGTTGAGCATTCACTCTGCAATGTCCCTTGAAGGGGCAAGGACCGTAAGGCGAATACATGGTGAAAGCCAAGAAATCATGGTTTAGGGAAAGGACCACCAAGGTGAAGAAAGACCAAGATCAGCCTCCACTTTTGTACAGAGCAGACTGCCCTGCCTTGCTTCAAGCAATCCCATTAGAAAAAATAAACCTTAATTCTGAGTGTTGCCTGTTCTGGGTATACACAGAAATTTCTCTTTCAGATACCAAAACCAGAACTTTCAGAATTGCTGAAGTGGTTTAGGAGCAAGTATGGACTAGGACCCCACAGTAACTTATGCGTCCAACTCACCTATGCACCTATGCACCTCTTCAGAACAAATCTTTATTGCAAATAATTACCCTGACCAAGATAAATAAGAATTCAGTTGTCCAGCTTGAAAACATGCATGATCTAGCCTTGAAGTACTCAGTGATGGATCACAAGAAGAGCATTGATTTTGTACAGTGGAGCTCTGGTTATTTAAATTGTCAGAACAGAAATATTATACTTTATTTTGAATGGTGACATTAAACATCCTTTTTTTACTGAAGAAAACAAAGACCTTATTAATTAAGCGTTTTTAAAATTTATTTAGGTTGCTAAATGAATCACTGGAAACCTGGAATTTAGAATCTGAATACCTTTCGATCCCACTTGAACTGAATGACCTCTTCATTTTTCCCAGAAACTGTACTTCAACAATATTTTCATTTGTAAGACACTATTTACTTAAAAAAAAAAAAAAAAAAAAAAAAAAAAAAAAAATTGTCGCAGAAGTAAGATTATCTTGCAGACTCAGGACTCCCTCTAGTGTCCTTACAGACAAACTCCGTAGGAATCTCGTTCGTGGACCGTTGGAGTTTTGTTTGTTTTTGATGACTACAGAGCATACATCAATAATTTCTTATTTGTATCTCAGATGCCTAAACGTTTCTGCTCACTATGTTAACTATTCACTCAGAAGATCCAAGCTAAATCTTTGTCATCTGCTACAGTGTAAACTTAAAATTACAATTGAAACGTGTCATTCTAATGAAATAATTGTTCGTTTATCATTGCTTTGTCCAAATGCTGTCAATTTCTTCTATATAGTTGAGATCTTTATGTTATTAGCATATGAAGTCTCCTGACTGATCGCAGCCAGTGTTCAGTCTTTTCCATCCGAGTTATCAATACTTTTCTTCTGAGCGCTTCTCACGCTCTACAGGGATTTCAATAAAACTTAACCAAACCCTGAGAAGTCTGATATAAGCCTTTTGAAAACACGTGGACAGTTCTGGCTTTTGAAATTTGTTGAAAGAATATAGGAACCCTTAGGAAGTCTAGGTCACAGCAGCAATTTTCAAAGAGTATTATTGTCTGAAATGTGAATAGAAACTAACTTCTTAAGTTGTTTCTGGTACAGGATGATTTTTTTTTTCTGTGTGTGTGTGTGCTTGTGTGTGTGTAAAACCTTTATTCAACCAAATTCAATAGAAAAAAACCTGATGCATAGAGCGTTCCACAGTTCAGTAATATCATGCATTTTGCTTTGCCACATGCCAGAGAGCAGATCTTCATCATTAATAGGAAAGGTTCTGTTAACTAGCTGGACAATTTCTCACATTTTCACTGAATTACTCAGAACAGGTCAAGACTGCTGGGTATTCAACTGGCTTAGAGGAATAATCCTACAGAGGATAAAGAAAGAACAGAAAACAGAACATTTTACAGACTGGACTTCTGTCTGTCTGACCACAAAACCAGCATTTTTGTTTAGGGAACAAGTCATGCCATGCTTTGAGGACAGAAGAAATCCTTGAGTAATAAATGACAAGGATGATTTAAAAAAACAACAAAACCACAACAAACTGAATAAAAAGCAAACCTCCCTGGAAATCAAAGAAAAATTCAGCTTTATATTTCTTAAAAAATCTAACTCTTGCTGAAAGCAAGTAGGATTCAGATTTGGGAATTTCTGGATGACTGAGAAACTGTAGCATAAAGATCTAGACTACTTAGACTCTTGTCAAAATGTGATCTATCTCATGTCAGAAATCTATTTACATTTGTTTTGCATGACCATAAAGACACTTATCTGAATCATAGCATCACAGAGGAATGGAAATTGGAAGGCATCTCTGGAGACTACCTTATCAAATTATTCTTTTCAATTGAATGTTGCCTGCAGAAGGTTGTTCAGGGCTGTGTCCTGTCAAGTTTTAAATACCAACAAGGACAGAGCGTCTCCGGACAACCTGTTCCAGCACTTGACCACCCTCAGTGTGAGAAAGTTTTCTGTGTTTAAATGGAATTTCCAGTATTTTGTTTTGTTCACAATGCCTCATCCTTTCTCTGGATATTGGCTCCCTCTTCTGCAGACTCTTCCATCATTTGTTTATACACATTGATGAGATTCCCTCTCTTCCCCAGGCTGAACAACACAGTTTTGACAGTCACTTCTCACACATCACAGTAGATTGCCTTTCTTTGGCTGAGAAGCAATTTTAAAATGTGCATAGTAAAAATATATTACTTAAGGAAAACATTCAGTGACTGCTGAGTTACTCACTAGAATTATAGATAAAATATTGACTGATTTCATCTTTTTGGCTATATGAGTGTAGCTGCCAAGTAGAATAGATTTTAAGTTTTATATACCTTAAAATAAACATAAAATAACATACTGCATCCTACAAAATGAATCACAAAGTATTTTAAAAAAATGTTTAAAACAATTCCATATATACAAGATACTCCCATTTACCTGCCTCCTGTCTTTCAACCAGATATCTTTCTCAGCCCTACCTTTCTTCTAACATGGCTAGAGAAGGAAAATATTCCTCATTGAGGACATGTTGAGTTGTACTTGTGCAAAACATGGTTGGTGCAAAGGCAAATTTTTTCCCAAGGCTTTCCCTCCGTAGCAAAGTTTCATGGCCATACACCTGCAGGTCTGCTTTTTCAGTCTCAGATATGTATGGCAAGTTATTCCATACTGAGTCATTTCTTTGCCCTTCTTGTTCACATCCTAGATCCTCCTGATGCTTTTCTACAACTCCTTCTCTAGGTTTGCACAAGCCTTCTTAGAGTGCTGACCTGAAGAGAATGAAGTTTATCAGATCTCTGCCTTTGAGATCTTGAATAAAGTTGTTCAGCAGTATCTGAGTGAAGATCACTCCCTGTGATTCGGCACTATACAAGGCTCTCACACACTATGTACATTATTTCAAAATTATGAAGATAGCAAAGCTCGCCAAAAGTTGCTAAGGAAAATACAGGCTAAATGATGGCTACAAACCTCAAAGGAAGAGAAGAACCAGACAGCTGACCCAGAAAAGATTTTCATTCCATCACAATTTTTCTTATTTTTGCAACTATCAAATATTATCTTCATTACTTATTCTGCTTATTTAGTGTAAGTTTACAGCTCTAGAATTCCAGTTCTATGTGTAAGGGGAATAACAAGTTAAAAAAATAGCTGACCTGTTGAGACACATTAAGAAGCGCCTGCCAGTTGATTATATCAGAGGAAATTTTATGACTGCAAGGAAAATCTTGGCATGGATAATGTATGTGACTGAGGGTATGTCTGCATATTTGAACTATGATGAGTGGCTCATGCATGAGTAGTTCAAGTATGCTCTTAAAAAAAAAAAAAATTAAACAGAAATCTTGTGCTTTCAAGTACAGGGACTGATAAGACAAAAATGCAGAAATCTCTTTGTTTAGTTTAGCTTCTGTACAGGTTATACACCACCTCACAGTGTGCTCCTATTATTTCCTCTAACTACTACATATTTATTCTATAAGAAAACATGTTTTACATCTTCATGCATAGTACTTTTTAATGCAAGTATTATCGTTGTAGATACAGACTGTATTGGTTAAAAAAAATAATCAAGAAAGTAATAGATAAAAAGACATTTTATTTTACAACTATGAATGGCAGTGGTATTTAAAAGTTACAAGTAGAACATATGTAGAGTACTGAAACTTCCTTCTACTCTCTAAAGAGACTTTAAAGGCACTGTGATGTGCTGTTTACTTTCTGTTATATGTCCATTCCAGAATCCTATTGGGCAGTGAAACTGGTGGAGGGGACTGGAGCACAAGTCTTATGAGCAGCAGCTGAGGGAATTGGGATTGTTCAGCCCAGAGGGGACTTAGGGGAAACCATATTGCTCGGGATTGGCCTTTTCTCATTGATAACTTGTGATAGGAATACAGACAACGGTCTGAAGCTGCACCAGCGGTGGTTCAGGTCGGATATTAGGAAAAATCTCTTTTCAGAAAAGAGTGGTAACACATTGGAGCGAGCTGCCCAGGGGAGCGGAGGAGTCACCGTCCCTGGAGACGTTCGGGGAACGTGCAGATGTGACACTGAGGGACACGGTTAGCGGGCACGGTGGTGACTGCTGACTTGATCCTAGAGGTCTTTTCCAACTTTAACGATTCTGTCATTCTATGTCTGCAGACAACATCGCATTCGGGAGTGCAGACCACCTGTGGCTGCTTCCAGCTGCAGTGACGCGGTGATACAGCAAGTTGTGAAAGCGGTGAGCAGCTGCCGAATGCTGGAAAACCTGCGCGGTGCCAGGGCCGGGCACGAAGGACGGGAAGCCGTGCGACGTGTCCCAGGCATGAGCCGGGGAAGAAAACTACCGACAGAAACGTCAGGGCGCCCCTCGCTCCGAGGCCCACTTCGGAAGACGCGGGCTCCGGCCCCGCTCCCCGACTCGGCAGCTCCGGCCCCGGCCACAACCACCGAGAGGGCCGGGCCGCGCTGCGCCGTGCCGGCGCGGAGCCGCCCCCCTCACGGCGCTGCGAACGGGGAGGCGGGACGGGGGGAAGCCGCGATCGCCGAGGGGAGGGCGGGGAGCTCCGCGGCGGGCCCCCCGGCTCCCCAAGGCCTCGCCCCGCTCTGCCCTCTTGGGCGGCGGTATGGCGGGCGGGCTCCGCGCCCCGCTGTTGGCAGTGCTGGCGCTGCTGCTGGCCGCCGACCGGGCGGCTCTCGCAGGTAGGGCTGCCGCCATGGCGGGCGCCGCGGGGCTCCGGGCGGGCGGGTGCGAGAGGACGGCCCTCGCGGGGTCGCCCCGCCGGGGTCGGGAGCGGAGTGCGAGCTCGGAGCTGCGGCTGAACCGCGCGTGTGCCCCCAGCGCCGCTCTGTGAGGCCTGGAGCAAGAACGTGAAAAAAATCCTTTTTTATTTATTTATTTATTTATTTATTTATTTACTTTTAACAGTTGTGGGTGTGACTGTAGTTATATGGCACGGGCAAAGCCCCAAGGTGCGTGTGCCCCGTGATTCCTTCCCGTCTTGGTTTACCTGCCAACGAGCAGTCCCCGTGGTCAGTAGCTCGGGCACCTGGTTTTGGCAGTCACACTGAGCTTATGGCTGACGTCTGGCTTCCAAACCTGCCGGGGGCTGCGCTCTGCTGCTGGCAGGTGTGCTGCTCTGCTAGAGCTGACACCAGGACTGCCACAAGCTTACTTTCGATGTTTGTCTGTATCTTTGTGTGAGCTGTAAGTACAGCATTGAGCACTGGTCATCAAGCTTTTTTAATATCTGTGCTTAATAATGGACTAGCAAGCATTGAAGTGTCTTTTTTAGCGTGCTTTGTAATCCCACATGACGTGAGTTCTTCTGGGTAAAAGGTCTCCACACATGGTAGGGGGAATATTGCTCATAGAAGTGTCTCTTAAATGTCGTGAGTATCTAGGAGATCTGATTTTCTCTGGAATTTCTGAAGTGAGGTAGCATTGTCGGAAATGTCACTATCTAAGAGTTTTGTCATTTACTTTGCTGGCAATAATGTGAGGTCAGCTAGTACAGTTTTGCAAACAATGCTATGGAAGTTGACAGACTAATTCATGCCTGCTGCTACAGTAGTGTCTTGAATTCCAGGCCTTGCAAGGCACAGCCACAGCTGGATGCGGCATTTCCAGGTTGCAAGGTAGGGTGTCAGACGCAGCCTGCTGCTTGTGCTAATCTAGGTACAGCAGTATGGAATGCTGCAGCTAAGCTCTCTTCATGCTGAGTTCTGCCAGCCAATGTAGTTTGGCTGTACCCGGTCAGCATGTTAAAATCCAGTACTTGTCTCCTACTGTAGCTGCTGTTTATAGCCATGAGAGACAGATCCTGGTCCCACACATCTTAGACTGGAGTAGAAAACCTGCAGAAGTTTGGAACAAAAAAACAGCGCTAACAACTTCTTTTAGATGGTGAACTGAAATTAGGCATTAAGTAGTTTGCACAACTCTTTGATTTGTTTCTATGATGGAACCAGAACTTAACATCACCTAACTATAGTTATCTGGAAATCTGGTGTGTAAAGCATATGTGGATGTAGCACAAGGATGCATATTACTTTGTGCATTGTCATCTGTTAGAGGCTTACAGACTCTTACTTTTGATTTGCCCACATAATCTCACTGCAAATCCAGCAGTGAGAAAGTGTGAACCAACATTGAGAATTCACTTCCAAATGAGGGCTATCTTACCTGTAAATGGCATTCCTAGCAAATCTGGCAGTTGTTTAATGTGTCCATTCTTCCTGTACTCCTCTGTGTACTGTTGATGGTATCTTCTACTGGTTTCAATAACAATTAAAAATGGAAGTAAAGTTTTGGTTCTGTTTACTCCCTGTCATTTTGCTGCATTGTATCTTCTGTTGTCATTGTATCAAAACTTAGCTAATCAAACTCCTGTTATGTGAAGTATCAGAAGGGTGCAGTGAAGAGTGTAGTTTTAGTTCAGACTCTGTGATCTGGAAAGAGACATTTCCAACACTACGCCAGTGTACTATGGCGTTCCTAAGTGTCAGAATGTCTTCTACTTTCAGGTCTTGAGGTGTATCAAACTCCAAAGTGCAGTTTGATATTCTGTTTTTCTCTGATGAATTTTTACAGAAGATGCAGTTTCAATCACCCCTGACTTTCCTACTGCTTCTACAGTATATGATCTTTGCATACTATTCAAATGGAGTAGAAGACAGACATTTTAATAATGAAATGTGGTTGTATTTCTTAGACATAGTACCACCAATGTATTTAGGAAACCTTTCTAAGAAGAAAAAGAAGGAAAGGATCTCTGTGTGGAATTTAGTCGTCAGGGATATTTGGAAGAAATGCACCTGAATTCCGAGAGACTGCAGTTTAGATCCTCACTGTCCTTTTAAAACAAAGATTTTAACCAGCTTCCCAACAAAGATTTGTAAGCAAACTGTGATGTTGGGATATTCTGATGGTGTTGGGTTCTGATGGTGTTTATCCATCTCACCAGTTAAGTTAAATCTTAAGTTAAATCTACGATGCAGCTAGAACTAAATTAAAAATACAATATTTTAAATATGGTTCCATCCAGCTGCAAGATAAAATAAAGAAGACATGATTGTATTTTAAATTGTGAAGTTACATTTTCTGCTGTTTATTATTATTATTTTTTCTATCCAGATTATTATTGGTAATTGCACTTTTTCATCTCCCTGCTAGAGGGGGAGGCATTGAGATTCACTGTAGAAAACAGGGCTGTTATCAGCATGAGGTTACACCTGCATAAAGGTATTGCTCATTTCATCAAGCCCTTGACTTTCTGGTTAGTACCTTTAAATCCATTCAGTCTATCCTAATGGAGCAAAACCCAAAGTTTTTGGAAAGTGAAGCCAGGTTTCAATCTGGAATATCAGAAAAATCAGCTACCAAACTGATTCTTCATCACTGCAAATCAGAAGGAAAAAGGTAATATGAGAGTACTTTAAGAAAGTAATTGTTGTCAAATATTGGTTTTTTTCCAACTTCTAGTTTGAATGAGTTTTGAATAACTTGAGCTGATTGTTTTTATTTCTAGAATATGCTGCTCATGAGAACTCCGTGAAACCTATGTCTTATTGTAATGGCTGTTTCACGGAATCACAGAATCGTAGGGATTGGAAGGGACCTCTGGAGATCATCTAGTCCAACACCCTGCTAAAGCAGGTTCACTACAGTAAGTTGCACAGGAAAGTGTCCTGTTGGGTTTTGAATATCTCCAGAGAAGGAGGCTCCACAATCTCTCTGAGCAGTCTGTTCCAGTGCTGTTACCCTCAGAGTAAAGACATTTTTCCACATGTTTATATGTAACTTCTTATGTTTCAGTTTGTACCCATTGCCCCTTATTTTCACAGAATCACAGAATTATAGGGGCTGGAAGGGACCTCCAGAGATTGAGTCCAATCCCCTGCAAAGCAGGGTCCCTACAGCAGGCTGCACAGGTAGGCATCCAGGCAGGCCTTGAATATCTCTAGAGAAGGAGACTCCACAGCCCACCTGTGCAGCCTGTTCCAGTCCTCTGTCATCCTCGCTGTGAAGAAGTTCTTAGGCACATTTGAGCAGAACTTCCTGTGCTTCAGTTTGTGGCCATTTTCCCTTGTCCTGTCACCAAGCACTGCTGAAAAGAGGCTGGCCTTTTCTCTTTACCTCCTGCACCTTAGGTATTTATAGACATTGATCAGATCCCTCTGAGTCTTCTCTTCTCAAGGCTGAACAGACCCAGGTCACTCAGTCTTTCCTCAAAAGGGAGATGCTCCAGGTTCTTTATCATCTTTATGGCTTTGCACTGGACCCTCTCTAGAAGTTCCCTGTCTTCTTTGAACTGAGGAGCCCAGAACTGTGCATAAAACTCCGGATGTGGCCTCACCAGGACCAGGGCTTTTACTATTTGTATTATGTTTTAAAAAAATAGTGGTTTTAATCACTGGTATACTATAGAGTGTTGTTAATGATCTTTCCAAAAGTTCAAAAAGATGTTATTCATATAAGAATATTCTGCCTGAAAAAATTACTTTTAATTACTTTTCAGTTAGGACACTTTTATATAAGAAACATTTCATTTCATCATATTTCCACAGCATCTATCTCCCACCACTCAGATGTTTACTTCAGGGGGTTTTGTTTAAATGACTCACTTTTAAATAATTGTAAAATACCAATAGAGACCAGTATCTCTTACTCTGAACTGTTTTTATGTACTTTAATATTAGGATTTCTCCTGCAGTCACAGTGGTTTAAATGCACGCGTGGCAGCCTCGGATTGAAAGGAAACAGCTGGAACAGATAATTGCAGCATGTGAAGGAATCAATTTGGCTCAGTTCTAGTTCCAGCTTCAAGGAAAATATGGTAAAGCTAAAAAAAAATTATGGAAGTAGAGTCTGTATTTGTGGACATTAAAGAATTCACTTCAGAGAAGACTGACGTCTCTTCTTGTACAGTTGTTGAAGTCTTGGACGTGGATGAAAAGCTCTGGTATCTCCAAGCATCTAGAGAAGTTGCTTGTTTCTGGGTCAGCTTTAAGCATATTTATAGCGCAGAGCATGTGCAGTAGTTGCAGAAATATTCTTTAGTCCCTCATTCTGCTTTTTTTTCCATGGTGAACAGCTGTAAAAAGCTTCTTGTGTGAGGTACATTTTATTTCTCTGGATTCCTCAGAACTTGTTAACGTCTCCACTTTTGTTGTGCAATCAAAATGAACAAGACTTTAAAAAGTTATTAATATCATGATGATTTATTTATATTTGGTATTAAAAGACCGTGAACACTTGTTTCCATCACTCAGGTTCCAGGGGAGAGTCTAACTTATTATGTTCACATCTGAAGTTGCATGCTCTTTTTCCTGTAGCTTATGAGAAAAGAGTTGGAACCTACACATTGTACAACTAACAGTTCAGCCTGCTCCTAGATGATTAGGCATTTATCACCTCTTGTTGTTAAAATTTGCAATTCAGTGCCAGGAGGAAGCAAAAGAAAAAGAGCTGTAAGACATATACTCATGCACCACTGTGCTCTGTTGCATGCATGCTGCAGCTGTCCACACTGTTGCTCTCCCTTGCTAATTCCCTGGGTTGTTCCAGTTATTTCATCTTAGTTACAACAGAAGCACTGTGGAATCTAAAAGGATCTTTCATTGTTTACCACATTTGCATAATTGGGGGCACTGGGGCTAATGGGGCTACTAGCTTTACTTTCATGAATCCTGAAATCATAATTATCTTATGGAAATCTTCATCTTGAGGTACCACAATCTCTTTGTCTCTCAGTGAAGCACCTTAAAGTATGTGGAAGTTCAGAAGAAGTGTGTTGGTATGGAGAAGTGTGTGTTTGCTTTTAGAATGGAGGGTTGAAGGCAGGGAGGATGCAGTTACACTGCTTCGGTGTCTCAGCAGCCCCTAAGTGAACTCTTGTGGAATGTGCTTCATAGTCTCCCTTTAATATGGAAAGGTCACTGAAACAAAAGAGACAAAGGAAAATACTGCCATTCTGAAAGATCAATATTTATTTGACCAACCTCTGCTGGCCCATTTCTGTTCCATTTACCTTTCTGTGAATGAGCTGCAGGGAACTAGTCTTTCTTTACGGTGCAATCTCAGCTGGATAGGGAGAAGCCTTCATCACAACTTGGAGAGGCGTCATAGATCTACTGAAGGCACTGAAAGCAATACCTGACCAGGCACAGCTAATGAATATTCCTATTGTGCTTTGTCTTGAGTCTCCTGTTGGGACAATATGCATTATCACTCTGTTTTTGCTTTCCATTTTTCACGAAGAAAGATACATAATTTCATTTTCTTGAAGGGTTGTTGTACAGTTGCAGCGTCATGGGAGGGATCTGTGTAAAACATCTAGCAAGTGAGGACCTTTTCTGTTTGGAGCTCCTTGTTACCTTTTACAATTAGATGATAAAGTAGCAGGTTCAAAAACAGTGAAAAGTGGTTTTTATTTTACCCCTTTTATAGAATCTATTATGAATAGCATGAATATAAAAGCCTTACTGAGTTAAGTTCCAAGCTTAAGCTTTTTCTTAAAACTTTCTGTGGGAAGAGATCCCAGGGAGGGAACGGTTGAGATATGCACAGCTTTGGCTGTTTCCTGTCAACACTGGTGACTAAAAGGAGTTGATCAGATATGATGTTTGCATCAAACTACTTCAGTTAATTGCAGTGTTAATTGTGATTCTGATATCAGTTCTTATGCATTGCTGAGAAAACACATGCTGTAGTCTGAAAAGAAAAATATTGGCAAAAAATGTGGAAAAAATTACATTTTTAATCTTGATTTTGTTCTTGGATTTACGTGTGTGGCTCATGATAGCTGTGTATGAGTTTGAGGCTGGTTGCTTTTGATTCATTTCTGGTTGTTTTTTTTTGTTTTGTTTTGTTTGTTTGTTTTGCATATTGAGTAGAAAAGCTAAGAGGTAAACAATTGAAGGTGTGGCAACTTGTTGAATTTGGTTATCTTTTTAACAGCAAAGGAAAAGGATGCTGAATGAAAGGTTAAAATGCTAACCTAATGCTTCCACTAGATAACAGAGTAAAGATTTCTGTGCTCTGTTATTCTGAAGGCTACTTCTTTCTCACATGGTTTCTTGTGTTTACTTCTAAGAAAGCTGTTGTGGGCAGAGCTGATCAGGAATATTTAGAAAAATTACTATAAACTTTTCAAAACTTGAACTTTACATGTAAGTGTAATATTTGTTATCATGAAAATATTAGAAAGTACTTATAGCCTGAATGTGGTGTGTTTCTAATTAGTGTTGGGGTGGGCTGTAGAGGAGAAGGAAAAGAGATAAGGAATGCAAATTAACTGGTAAATCAGATCTTTAAATGGATATCCATGTTTTCTGGCTTTATGTATTTACGTTGATAGAAGCAGCATTTCCTGGCAAGACTGCAGGAACAGCACAAAGCTGCACAAGGCTGTAGTGGAGGAGGTTCAGACTGGACACTGGGAGAAATGTTTTGTAGGAAGGGTGGTCAAACACTGCAACAGGCTTCCTGGAGAGAAGTTTGGTGCCTATGCCTGTCAGTGTTTAGGAGGCATTTGGATAATGCCTCTTGGGTAATAAGATTTGGATAACAATGTGCTTTAACTTCTGGTTAGCCCTGGAGTGGTCAGGCAGTTGGACTTGATGAACTTTGTAGCCCCAACCTGTTCTGATCATTTCTATTATATATATAAATGTCCACAAAGACAAAATTATAGTTGACCTAGATCTTATTCTAATCTCCTTCCACCCATCTTTTTCCTTTGGGGCATAGACTGACATTGCAAAATCGATTGTCTATTCAGGAAATCCAGAGGAATTGTTCACTCTGTGATATGCTAAATTCACATGTTCCATTATCAAGGGAGCAAAAAAGGCATCCCCTTTTCTAACGTGGTGGCACGACAGTCAGAATTTGGTTTCGGCCAGAAATCATCCTAAAGTCATTGTGAAAGAGTCTGCTTTAACAAAACTTGATTCCTATGTTGTAATAACATGCTGCTTAGTTTGATGGGTACTGAAGCAGAAAGCATGCCAAAGCACAGTAGGTGGTTTTGGCACAATATCTCATTTAGTACTGGATCAGTGCCTGATATTGAGTTTCCTATCCTACCTTCAGTGGTGGACTGTGACTCTGAAGTGTTCTGTGGGAGGCAAAAGCTTATGTTAACTTATGTTTGTTTTTTCTTTTCTAGAAAAACCAGTTCAAACACCAAAATTTTCCCAATGGCACACTGAAAAATATTGTCTCTCTGCAACTTCATTTCTAGTTATTCTAAATTGCATTTAGTAATAGATAAGTTTATCTTTCAGCTCAATTTCTTCTCCTGACATCCAGTGTTTTTTCCATCCAGCATACTTGAGTCTAATGAAAATTTGATGTCTTGAGAAGTTAATTTCAACTTCCAACCATGGTTATTAGTTTTGATACAGAAATTCCTAGATGAAATTTGTGGGCTGTATTAGAGTAATTGTAATGAAACTTTCATGATGATAAAGTCCACAGAAGCTTTGGATTTTACTTGTTAATTTCTGATGAACCTCACTGATAAAATTATAGTGAATCTTTTTCTTTCCCCATCCACAGGAGTGCTAAAATATAAGTAGCAACAAAGTGAACAAATTGCTTAGAGTCTCAGTAGGGTGAGTGGCAGCATCTCAGGGTGGATCCTTCTTGTACTCATTCTACTATATTTCTGTTCTAATGTTACTGCAGTGACTGAAGGAAATCAATCAATTTTTGATTAATGCAAATTGTTTCAGAAAGCTAGGGTATGCTTCTTATGACATTCAGGAAGACAGTATCTGAATGCTTCATTTGCTGAGATAGACATCTGAGGACTTCTCTCCCTTACCTGTGTCATTGGCTCCAAAGCACAATAGGATACCATCAGTCACCTACATTTCATCTGCAGGAAGAATAACATACCTAGCCATTACCGTAATATGTGTTTACCATAATGTAACACTTATGAACACATAAGCTATTTTCTGTCTCATCGGTGAAGATTGCTCTTCATTTATACTGAGGGATTCTCATTTATACTGTATGTGGTTCTGTACCATAGTACTGTTTTAAGCTATTTTCTTTATTAACCTCAAAATAGTAACATTTCTATATACAAAAAATAGCCTTTGTTTTATTGCTATATGGATTTTGTGGAATACCCGTAAGGTTTACTAGAGCTATTTGATGAAAGCTTCTTTTATGCTTTTTTTTTTCAATTTAAAACCAGTTTTTTTTACACACAGTAGTGACTCTTCCTTTGCAAGAAATGTGTGTACCTCTGTAATCTAAAAATCCCTCCTCTGTTTCTATGGGTACTTAATATAATAATTTGTTTTGCAATTTGCACTGCTCTGCATAGTAATAGAAAAGGTGGTAAAGGCAGAGAGCAGTTGAATGAAGAAGTTTGCTTTTGTTACAGTTCTCTCCTTCAGAGAGTGAAGAGCTGAAGGAGATGTATACAAAACTGAGTGATTGGGCTACAGGGCAGCAGGGTTGGTTCATGGCTGCGTAAAGGAACCAACAGGATAGGTAGGACTCTTGAACCTGGAAAAGTAAGAGACAAGAAAATGTGAAAGACTATGTTTCTGCAGGGTGCTGGGAGACCTGCAAGTCTTCTTACCCAAGATGACAGAGGAGGTCTCTGGCAGAGATGTAGGGGAACTTATTATAAATGAATATGCTTACATGTACTCAAAGAGAAACTAGATAAGTACTTCAGGGAGAAATACTTTGGCAATTCAAAAACAGACCAACTGTGACAAGCTCCAGAAAAGACTGAAAAGAAAAAGAATTGCAGAGTAGGAGTGTATATGAAGGAAGTTGTTAACTATACTTGTGCTGTTCTTATGATGTCGTTTGATTTGTGTTGGAGATAAACGACTGGGCTATATTCATTTCATGTCCAAACTGATGTGGCCATTGAGCTCTTATCCAATTACAGGATGAATTTAATATCTAAGATCTATTTCTGTTCATGTTGTGATTTAGCCAGTGGGCAGCAGTGTCTCCTCTCTTCCCCATCTCCAACTGGGATGCAGGAAAAAAAAAAGTAGAACCTGTGGGTTGAGATAAAGACAGTTTAATAAGACTGAATCAGAAGAGATTATAATAATAATAAAGAATATACAGAACAAGTGATGCACAGTGTATTTGCTCACCACCCACTGACCAATGCCCAGACAGTCCTCAAGCAGAGATTTCTCACCCTAGCCAACTCCCCTCACTTTTATAGTTCAGCATGGCACCATATTATGTGGAATATCCCTTTTGCCAGTGTAGGTCATCTGTCCTGGTTCTGTCCCCTTCGAACTCACTGTGCACGCACAGACCCCTCGCTGGCAGGACAGTATGAGAATCTGAAACTTCCTTGGCTCTGTGGAGCACTGCTCAGCAAAAGCTAAAACGTGTCAACACTGTTTCTCTCTTAAAGCCAAAACACTACATACCAGATGCTATAAGGAAAACTATCATCTTAAACCAAGACAAGTATTAACTCTCCATATAATTATTTATATATGTTTTTTATATATGTTTAGATACAAATGAGAAAAAAGTGAATTTATGTGTGTACCTAAATTTCATGCTTGTTTTCTTTTCCTTCTTTTTAGTGTCATTTTATGGTGATAGTTTTGTGGCATTGAAGATGGCAGAAGCGTCCTATCAGACAACCTTACAGTTACGATTTCTAACAAGCAAGCCACATGGATTGCTTTTTCTTGCAGCTGGGAAGAAAGATTATTGTTTGATAGAGTTACAGTCAGGAAATCTGCAGGTATAATTTGTAACTATAGCAAAAAAGATATGTGTAGCCTCTGCTGTTGAGTTTTTCTTTAAGCTGTTGTCGGTAACAGTTCTCAAAGTTTATGTTTAAAAAAATGGAAATGTCACATAACATTTTTTTGAAATTTTCAATTAAATTATATGTTTCTTACAATGATAGTTATTAAGAAGCTACTTATTTAGAAGTGTCCTAGATCTCTAGAAAGTCATAAGATCAAAATCACTCTGTTCAAGGCATGAGGTTCAGTGAGGTAAAATTTAATGATATTGACATCTTAGAAAATGTTGGGATCCAAATAATAATTGTTCTGCAAGGCATGTTCTTCAAACAGCGCTGTCACCTGGATTCTTGCTGATTGTTGGTTTAGCAAAACTAGAGAGCAGTCCATTCCCATTTCTTCAATTAGAGAAATCAAACTTGTGATGTCAAGTGAACCTACACAAATATTTAATGAGACTTCTTTTTTTAAATTATACTTTATGAATGGTATGCTTAATACGAAAATTAATGAAAATTAACCTAGCAAGTCTCTATGAATATATGATTGTAAAAAAGATTACTTTGGATTTTGATATATTTTTAATTTTTTCTTGCAGTTGAGAATTAACTTTGGCATGGGAGAACGAATACTGCGTTCTTGGCAAAGATCTCATCTGAATGATTCAGCTTGGCACTTGGTTGAACTGCATCATGAACGTGACAATGTCACATTGTTAATTGATAAAAATGATAGGACTACTGCAAAAATGCCTGGATCTCTCAATGAATTAAATATTGATCATGGATTCTACGTAGGTGGTACTACGGAACTTGATGTTCCTTACCTTGTTCGGGGACTGCCCAGCTTTCGAGGATGTATTGATGATGTGTTATTTAATCAGCTAGACATTTTGATGCCCCTGAGATCTTCCAGGTTTAAAAAAGTCCATGAAGTTTCAGTGGGATGCAGTGATGAATTCTTTGCAGGTGAAGATGAACCCATCAGTTTTTTTAGTTCCAGATCCTATGTTTCTTTCCCATTATGGAATATTGTTGATGGTGAGGGAGTCTTGGAATTTGCATTGCAAACATCAGCTGCACGTGGCTTGCTGCTTTATCATCCTGGACAAGAAGGAGATTTCATTGCAATGGTGGTGGAAGATGGATTGATTAAAGCCTATACTGAAAAGCATAAAAGTAGAACCTGCCTTTCCTCTCTTAGGTCAGTCAATGACAGTCATTGGCATTACATTAAGCTCAAATTTACTGCAGAATATTTACAACTTACATTGGATAAAGAAACTGTGAAAAAATCATTCCCTCCTCAAAACGAGCTGCTGCTTCTGAATGGGTCACTCTTTGTAGGTGGCGTAGATGACAGTAAACGATTGGAAGTGATTAAATTAGAGCTAACCTCCGTGTCTGGGAAGCATGCCAGAGGAAGGTCCTTCAGAGGTTGTTTAAGAGACCTGAAAGTCAATTCAGAAAAGAAATCGCTGAAGAATGTTCAAGTAACAAAGGATATTTCAGCTGGATGTGAAGCGGAAAATGCTTTTAATACAAATCTTTCTTTGGAGATGGCTGTAAAATATCCTACTGTAAAAGCAGCCCCACCACTTGCCCTTTCCCCTGAAAACTCTGTCTCTCTGGGACAGGAAGATAAAAACCACTTTTTAGTTCTGAGTAACCTGATTGTTAAAGAAGGTGGAAAAGCCTCACTTGAATCTAAACATATTCAAGTTAATTTAGACATTCAGAAATTAGGAATTAATCTATCACAAGTTCTTTTTGAAATAAAGGAACCACCATCACATGGTACCTTGAAACTAGATATTGAACCAGTGTTGGAGGTAAATATGTTTACTTTGCAGGATGTGTGGCAAGGGAAGATTCTGTACATCCATGGTGGCTCTGAAGATACTTACGATTATTTTAATTTCTCCATTTCTGCACACAATAGAAAGATTGTGCCTCCATATTTGCAAAGAAATGAGGAGTATATGTTTAGCATTATCATCACTCCAGTAAATGATGCTCCTGAGATCACACTTGCTGAGGGAAACTTACTGCTTTTGATAGAAAACTCAAAGAAACGTTTGACTAGTGACTTGATAAGAGTATTAGATAATGATACAGATCCTCTGGACCTCAGTCTTTCAGTGCTTGGAAATCTTAATGCAAATGCAGGATATTTAGAAAATTCAAAACATCCTGGAAAGACTATTACTACTTTTTCTAATGAGGACTTACAAAAAGGCTATGTTTTCTTTGTCCACACAGGTGTCAGGAACTCAAGGATTGTTCTGAGAGCAAACGATGGTGAGAAAGTGAGCAACACTGTTGTGTTACGCATCATGGCAATTCCTTTGGAATACAAAGTTGTTAGCAACTCAGGAATAAAACTCGTCCAAGGTGCTACAGCTCTAATCACATCCAGGCATCTGACAGTTGAAACAAATGCCAACCTCCAAGAGCTGGAGATTCTATATGAGATCATAGATGCACCCCAGTATGGGGAAGTTCAAAGGCAGCATTCAAGGGGGGAATGGAAGCAAGTCAGCTCTTTCTCTCAGCGCTCCATTCAGCGCAGCCGTGTAAGATACTGTAGTACTTTTAGAGAAATTCAGCTGGAAAATATTACTGACCAATTTAAATTCAAAGTTACCATAGGAAACAGAACCAGTGAAGAATATGTGTTTCCAGTTCAAGTAAAATGGTTAAGGTACAGTTTATTGAAATATACTCCTCTAGAAATTGAAAAATCAAAAAAGAAATACTTGAATTCAGATAATCTTTTTGCTGTGCTTGTGGGTCAAGAAATACCTGACGATGAACTTCATTTTAAATTGCTGTCTTTACCAAAGAGTGGACAAATACTGCTTAATGACCAGTCTTTGAAAGAAGATTCAGTCTTTAGCCAGAAAGATATTGCTGATCAAAAAGTGGCATATCAGTTAATGAGCAGCTATTGTGAAGACAATCATGATTCATTTAAATTCCTCATCTCCACAAAGTATCTGGAATCAAATATCTTTGACTTTGAAATCTACATCAAATCAGATTTTAGAAACATAATTGTAATTAACAATGGCTTAACTGTTACTGAAGGTGAAGGAGAATTAATAACAAGCTCAAAATTGTTTGTGCAAACACTGGATAATAAAACTTTCCAGTATACAGTTTTGAAGTTTCCTAAACATGGGAAATTAAAACTCATTAATTCTTCAAATTCATTTGAGAGTAATGGCAATCTCACCACTTTCACTAATAAAGATATAGCTAATAAGCGTCTTATGTATGTGCATGATGATTCTGAAACAGTGTTTGATGAATTTCTTGTGAGAGCTTCCAATGAAGAATCAAGGGAGAGTGCAAATTTTGATCCTGTAGTAGGACCTTCCTCAGTAGAAATTAGATTCAACATTTCTGTCCAGCTGAAGAATGATGAAAAACCAGTACGTGTTGTTGATAAAGTATTTAACATTGTGAGAAATGGACAGCGATTATTGACTTTGGCAGATCTTTGTTATCATGATCCTGATTCTGATTTTGAAGATGGGCAGCTGCTATACATAAGACGTGGCATTTCCAATGGAGATTTGGTGCTAACAAATAATTCATTGCACAGACTCTATCAATTCAAGCAAGCAGACCTGAAGCAAAAGCTAGTCTTGTTTATACACCATGGTGCAGATTTTGGGCGTTTTGTGCTCTTTGTAACAGATGGCAAACACTACACGTCTTTCCTTCTAGAAGTTAATGCCACTGATCCTTATGTTAGCTTGGCAAATAATACAGGTCTGTTGGTTCAAAAAGGAAAAGAGGAAATCATTACAACAGCTAACCTAAGTGCTATTACAAACCAAGACATCAGAAATGATCATGAGATTACATTTGAGATAACCACTTTCCCAAAATATGGAAGAATATCTGTAAATGGTTTAATGATGGACTCCTTCACACAGTTTGATCTGATAAGGGGGTACGTGACATACAGGCATGATGGCAGCAACAACTCTATTGACACATTTAACTTTACAGTCTATGCTAAGAACGTCCATCTTGATTCTGCTGTGCATGTTCGCATGTATTTGGAAAGTCATCAGTGGCGACCAGGAATTGTGAACAGTAACAGTCTCTTAGTTGAAGAAGGAAAAACAGTTAAGATCAGTAAAGGAAAACTGCAAGTGAGTTAACTGTACTGCTAGTAAACTATATTGGCCATTTCTTCACTCTAGTAGCAAGTCTTCTACTCTGCGTTTTCAGACATTGCAGAATTTGCAGTCTCTTTCACCGAATATTTTTCTCTTCTTTATCTCTTTTCGGTTTTCACATTCTGGAGAGAATCTGACATTAGTAGGCTTCCACTGCTAGGAAAGAAAACCAGTTATGTTAAAGAAATAGGATTGACTGTAGTCTTTGACACTGCTAGGTATTGGTGCTTGAGAAGGTTAATATCTTTTCATGTGTACTTGTTTTAGTTGTGAGAGCTTTTTGTATTTATTTTCATGTATCATCCTGATCTAAGCTTGTGGATATGCCAGGGAAGAAAGGATTTCTTTTCTTTCCATTGGAAGCTAGTTCAGGTAATAGTGATCCAAAATTTTAAAAGCATCAAGTCACAAACATAAGTGTTATTTGTTAATAGTAGTTTAAGCTCCCTACTGTCTACTTGTAGCCTTACAGTAACCACCACGAGGGGGCTGCTGCAGCACGCTGCTGTGTTGACTGTAAGTCCTTGTTTCAAGCAGGAATCTACAGCTCTTGCTCAATTAGTTAATTCCAGAGTGTGTGCTTTAAAATTTACAGAGCACATTCAGGGTTACAATACAATCCCATGCCATCTAATCCTATTTCAAGAATTATTGTATGTTAAAAATCTGCAGATATACCTGGACAAGGAATGCCAATTAATTAGGTAGCTGATCCTCTAGTTAAAATTGATAAATTTAGAACAACAGAATTAAATAATTTCTCATATTTCTGTTTAAGTAATTCTGAGGTGTGTTTTTCCAATTTAAGGTTGCCCATGAAAACAGTTCTCCATCTGAGATTGTGTTCACAGTAAGGCAGCTTCCATTACATGGATACATTCGGATGTTTTCATCAGAAGAGAGTTATCTTGGTGCCGAACAAAAGCCAGTTCTGACCTTCACACAGCAAGATGTTGATGAGGGCAAAGTTCAGTATGTGCAGACAGTTTCTGACCAATTAAGTGACTATTTTTCTCTGGATGTGACCAGTGGTGTCCAAACCGTGAATGACATAGAAATCTCAGTTGACATTATTCCTAAAATGATTCCTTTGGAAGTAAAGAACTTCACAATAATTGAAGGTAGCTCAAAAGCCCTGGTGGAAGACGATCTAAAAATTTCTAGTAGACACTTTGCAGGACTCAGCTGTGAAATTATTTTAGTTGATCTGCCAAAGCATGGATATTTTGAAGATTCTAATGCTCCTGGAATAAAGTTAAACAGATTTACCAAACAACAGGTAATGTATTTAGATTCATTATCATGATTAATTATTTGTCCATGGTTATGACTAACTCTTTCCTTATGTTGTTAAATGCTAATTTTTTTCTGGAGTGGGAGGATTTAGTGGGAGAGAAGGTGAGATGCAGGAGTTTGAGCTTTGGGCCTTGTAACAGAGATATTGCTGCTGGTCATTTGGTGTTCAGAGGAGGGTGGCTGTTTTTTATGGTCAACCACATCACTTCTGAGTGCTCCTGGTCAAACAAAGCAGTGTATTATAGGCACAAGTGACTGATGAGCCCCTTGCAGTCTTGGGTATATCTTGAGAAGAGCTGACCAGCTGAAATAATATGTAAATTGAACAAGGAGAGATGTGGAAACTATTTTATTTTTTTTTTAGATTATGTGTTTGCTCATATAGAGTAAATTTATGCGTGAAAAGCTAATTTTAAGTTTGTTTGTTCTAAAAAGGAAAATTATATGTTAAGTCACCATCTATTAATACTCATTTTTTTCCATTTGTAGCTCCCAGGAAATATCGTAAATACAGTGGGAGTGAATCCCACTATTTTCTCTTTAGGCTGAAGGGGGAATGCCAAGACTGGCAATGTAAGCTGGCTAGAGGTATAGAGCTGTAAAATTTGCCATTGTGGGTAGAACAAAGGTAGACATACAGATTAGATATGACCATAAATTAATTCTTTGGAGTCATAAAAAGTTGAGGCAAGCCAGAGTACTTCAGTAGGTTTACATGTTTTTTAATGTCACATTCATTTTCTTTCAGCATGTTTAGTTTTTTAGGTTGTTATATTTTTCAGGTGGAACAAGAATTAATCTACTATGTTCACGATGGCAGTGAGGAACTAATGGACAATTTTACCTTTATAGTAAATAACGCAGAATTACAGAAACAAAGCTTGCCCCAAACAATGTTTGTAACAGTTACTGCAGTAAATGATGAAGCTCCTGTTATAAAAGTTAACAGAATTCTTCAGGTATGTTTGTCATAATTTTAAAATGTTGATTTCTAACCTGATATCATTTCATATACTCTCAGTAACAGATTTTTTGGGGTAGACGGCTGTTACCATAGCACTGCTGTATCATAGTGTTCTTCACTAGGATGTCTTCAGCGCTGTTAAACATGGCTTAGAAAAGTATCAAGTAATGATGATAAGAGTGCAAATATCTTACTCTTGCCTGTGTGAAACCTTGGTTCTTGCTATTAAATATACTGAGGTCAGACCTGCTAATGTGTAAGATACTTCTTGTTCTTATCTTGACCCCACGCTGGGACAGGACAGAAGAGATCAGCATTCTCACTTGTGCATCACTACATATCGGATATTTCTGATACAAAAGCAGAATGTTCCCCTTGTAAGGCTTTCTCAGGCATTTTTAAGTTACTAACAAAATAATACAACACAGTTTGTGAAAATCTAGGTTGGTAGGTCACCAAGATATTGCTGCAGACACTGAAGTTATTACTCTGTGTTACTGTGATAAAAAAAAATGTAGTCCCCCCCACCTTGTCGATTTCTAAAGGAAAGTTTAAAATTGCTGAGTGATGCTTCCTTTTTTCTCTTAATAGCTGGCTTTTTAACATTTCACTCTTGAAAAAAGTCACTTCTGTCACTTCAGAGCTTTTTCAGATCTTTTTCTCTCTCTCCCTTTTTCCCTTTCTCACTTCCTTCTGTCCTGTCTGTCCTTCCCTTCTTTTTTCCTGCCTTCTTTTACTTGTGTTATTGTTGCACCCTGTAACAAGAACCAGTTTGCATGTCCCCATATAAACAAAAAACCCTAAGTGTTTAAAGGCTTCCTCCGTGGGACCTGGCAAATAAATCATATGGCTCTGAGAAACAGAATTTAATGAGTAAGGTTTAGCTAACAACTTGTGGTTAGAGAAGACCTGCTGAGAGGCCGTTATGACAGAAAAGGCATTTCAAAATAGATTTGAAAGTAGATAATGGGTGTATTTTGAGGCTACATTGTTCCTGGTGCTGTGTAATGTACTTTACAAGTTGGTGGCATCTAAAAATGCATTTAATTTTATGTATCTGATTTGTGCTACCTAGGGAGAATAAATTACTGTAGAGATGACCACAGCCTTGGGTTGTATATATTGCCTTTTCACACAAGAAAAGATGGTTTTTTTAAGCAGTGATAGTGGTGATGCTGTGCATCTTCCCAGTGGTTGCAACAAGTCCATGATAATCTGCAGATGTGCACAACACAGAGCACCCTATCTGTTGCAAATACTGCCAGTAGGAGGACAAACTGTCTTCACAAGCATTCAAGTAATAGAGTAAAACCTTCCATGGTTAAATTAATCACAGAGGTACTCTATAGACATCAGCACAGCACATGGTGATATTTGTCTAGCAGCATACAAGAGATGTGTGCCCAGCTTGATAGCTCTCTGTGTACAGTACAGGCTTAGAGCTGCATTCTGATCTGAGAACTGAGCCAGCACAGTGCACTGCAGTGCAGCAAATGGCTTTTTTCTAAAAATGGCTGTTAAGTCCTGGCTTCCCAAGAACAATGATAATGCAGCTGAACCTAGCCAAAGTTGATCTTTTTTTGCTGTGCAGGCAGTTTGCAAAGCGACAGCCGTGATACATCTTTTTATTCCTTTGTATCTTGTGATTCTGCTCACCTTGTCTAAACTGTTGCTGACAAATAAGCTTTGATTTTGTAATGAATACACACACACAGTGTGGTGACAGTCAAGTTACATACTGGGAGAAATACACTAAGATGATCCTTCTTCAAAGGAACTTTGCACATCCCAAATAAGTAGGAGATAATGGATTTATCATAAGCTGGCTAAATATTGAGATGAGCTAGGCATTCCTATGTAGGATAGCTGGCCTGATGTTCAGTTGAGCCAAGAAGTCTGTGCTCGTCAAGGACATTGCTAGTGATGAATGTTGAAGAATAAACTGTGTGTTGCTTTTGAAAACAGCTCTTTTACTGTATATATTTTGAAAGGTTGAAAATGTACAGACGTATAAGATCTGGACCAGTATTGTGAAAACTGAAATCTAGTAGGACCATTTGAATTGAACTGAAGTTTGGCACCTCAGAAATTTTGAAGATCTTAGTATAAAGTGAGCTAGAAAGAGCAATTGAACAGTGTAAAAAGTAAGTTTCCATATAGCACCTGCTATCAGAGGTAGCTTCTGTGAAGAGCTGAGTGACATGGTCAGTGATATTAACTAGTTTTGGCCTTTGTCATGGGACTTATACCTAAATGCGTGAAAAGAGCGTGTTTATACAAGCTGAATGAGTCTTTCAGCACCAGTTCCCTTATTTCTGGAGCATCCTTAACATATCCCTTATTCAAACAGCAATGTCTGTTTCTTATATCGAAGTTATGAACACAGTGGGAGGAGGTTCAGGAAGATGAACAACCAAATATTTTCGGGGTTGCTTTACGATTTTCTTCAGGAAGCAAAAGTAATGGAAGTTTTCTTTTTTTTTTTCCCCCTTCACTGAGAATTTATTACCTGCTGAGATATTAACATTAACATAATGAATGAGGCTAATTTTATTACAGTGAGAGCTTTAGTAATGCATGCTAGTAATCCTTGCACTTACTTTATAACTTTTTTATTTGAACAATAAATGCTGAAGAGATTAATGTATTTGGAAACTGTACTGTAATGCATAATTTCCTAAAATTTTGGGAGGTTGTATGTTTGTTTGTTTGTTTTAAATATCTTTAAGAGTGTTTATCAGTTGCTTTGAAATGAGTGCATCCTCCTGTTGCCACAAGAGGGCCAATTAATTTTATTTAAACAAAATTGAAGCAGTGATATTTTTTTTTCTCTAAATCATTAACTTACCAGAGTTAAAATATCTTTGAATTTATGCGTGGATACTCAACACACAAGGAAGAGCTGATAAACTGAATGCTTTTAAGCAGAGCAGAATGGACAAAGTCTTGGACTTTTTTTTTGGACCATGCTTGTGGAATGTGTTGGGCAAATGCAAAATCTGTATATTGCTACCTCCTCGAAATTTGGATACAGTTTTCATGGTGTTCCTCAGGGAGGACTTGATTACAGATGTGGAAAATAAGCTGTACCTGCATAGTATTTGCAGTGCTCTGAGTGTCCACTTCCCTACAGCCCTGTTTAGCTTTGTATCTCCTTTCATTCCCTGAGGATCATATTACAGGTCACGGGGACTCGGCATTTACGGTACTTTAAAAAGCATTGTGTGACAGTGTGCAGGAACAACAGAAATAAATACTGCCTTTTTATAGAAAAAGAAGCCGAATTTTTCTTTCATAAAGAGATTTTGTTTTAAACTTACAGACATTTAGCCTGAGTCACACACGATAGGTTTTGCATAGCTCTTTTTAATGTGTTTGTGTATTCTCTATGTGACTTCTTTTTTCTGTGCAGAATAATCTGAAACAGTGTTTCTGATGGGAATTAAGTGTTTTGATATGAAACCAGTGGCACTGATGTACTCACTTGGTGATGCTTAATAAGTCAGCCTTTGCTTAGTTGTCATCTTGTGTTCATAGGTGGTATCTTTTATCAGACTTATGTGCTAATGCAAAGAAATACACATTTCAATTGAGAAAATAACAATTTCCTATTTGCAAGTTTTCTATTACAAAATGTAACACATCTTCAAACTCATTTTCCTAATTAGAAAACACATATAATTCAATTTTATCTCTTTTTCTGTGGCATGGATTTTGTGACAGTGCCTAGGCTGCAGTCTTTCTGTTATTTAAGTGTCATGGCAAAATTCCTAGTGGCTTTAAAAAAACATTTGAGATTTCTGATAGTGATAGTTAAGAAAAAATCTGGTTGATGATTTTTGTTTCTGGCAGAAGTAAAATGCCTTTTTTTCAGGGATAACATTATCTCTTAAACCACTGATACAGTGCTGCTACCAGACACTTATTATGTGTGCTGGGGTCCTGGGAAGACAGAAGGGAATGGTGCAGAATGTGTTTTGAACCTCAAGATAAGTCTTTTGAAGGCTTTTAGGTTATATTTTGTGATACAGACTGCTTGGAAAGAACTGACATTAGTTTATTGAATATTTGGAGATTTTTCTTAATGTTGAGATAAATTTGTATTATTTTTTGTTAGTACTTTTGTCTGTAGTTTTGACTATATATAGAAAAGATGAAGAGTAAAGTCTGTAATTCTCAATCAAGAAATTGCCTACCAAGATGTGAACGGAGCCAAGATAACAGTTCTTTCTGCTCAAAAGAAGGATCTGCAGAATGTGCAGATCTTAAGCTAAAAAAACAAAAACAAAACCAAAAATATTTTCCAGAAAGAACTTGCAGGTTTTGTAGTATCTTCTCAAATACATTGTTTATTTTGTTTGTATGTGTGACTTGCAAAGTGCTAGGCAGCTGCTGAGGGCATGTTTCCTTTTCTGTCCCTGCTCTGAGCATCTCTGTGTGTTGCTGGATGCATGAAAAAGAGGCTTTAATGCAGTTTGTTAAAATGAAATAATGCAGCTACAAGTTTTCCATTTATATTAGAGACTGTACTGTCCTCAAGCCATTTTCTTTTTTTCTTTTCTGCTAGCTGAAAGTAGAGCATATTACTGTGCCTGCTGTGAATTACATGACAATAATATTCATGTGTATGTGTTGGATGGATGCTCCTTGACTCAGTTATCAAAATACAATTTTGCTCTGTTGGTAAGAGTTTGGGTAGGGCCTGACAAATAGAGAACTTATACTTTAGCCCTCTAAAATTCAAACCCTTGTAGGGTGTGTTTTGTTTGTGTTATTTCACGGTCTTGTTTCTTGAAAACCACGTGCCAGGTTTAACCATTACAGTCCATGATAAGAAATTTAGACAGACGGGAAACCTGTTTTAGCTGCTAGTGCTATATAGCAGAAATCTCTCTTCCCCCCACCCCGCCCCCCTTTTTTTTTTAATTTTATTTGCGTGTATTTTCTTTCTTTCTTTCTTTTTAATTTTATGTTTGTTTTTCTAGGTTTGGGTGGGTTCAGTCACAGAGATAACTGTTGATGACCTCTGTGCAGAAGATAAGGACTCCTCACCATCAGACCTGATATATTCAATTACACCACCCAGCAATGGGCACTTGGCTCTGAAGTCTTCTCCAAACAAGAGCATCCTTAGTTTTACTCAGGCTCATATAATTGAAGGGCAGCTGGTATTTGTACACAATGGTATGTTGTTTCAAAAATACCACGTGATACCAATACACTGCTCATATTCAGTGTATTTGCATTTATAACTGTATGAGGATCTCTTTGTAATGTCACAGAAATCTCAGAGCGCTGGTTATGTGATAAATGGTCTTGACTACCTAGACAGGAAATGGTCCTTATGACCACTTAAATGAGTGCTCATCAAGAAAGCTTGGTGTTCTGTGGGAAGACTATTAGTAGCAGTCTTCTTACTGAACGCATGGTTTGCAGAAAGGTAACACTGCCATGCAGCTTTCAGAGATATGTAGTCAATGTTTTTGACCACTGTCATTGAGAGTCTTTTAAAAACCTTTTGACAGTGCTGGGTTATTCATGGGCTAGCAGTCTCTCAGTTACCTGTCACAGTATATGCTCCTAAGAAGATCTGGGCAATGAAGTTATTGCTTGCATGAGGTGAACATGGCTGTGAAGAAATTCTGCTATAACCACTGACTCTTTTCCACCAGTAGTGAGAAACAGAGATTGTGTTATTTATTTTTGCTGCTTCTACAGAAAGAAGTATTGTGTAAACAATAAAACAGGGAGTCACAGCAGCCTCCAGGGTCCTTCATTAGCAGTGCCAGGAAGCTCTGGCAGTGAACATCCCTGTGAGGTTCCAGTCTGAAGAAGGGGTGGGGCATTTATAAGTGATAGCTGCTGTGTTCCTGCTCCAGCTCTGTTATCATATTGCATTAGCTGAAAAGAGAAGAAAGGAGGTGCTTAAGAAGGGTAAACCATTTGAGTGATGGGGAAGGAGATGGAGGAGGTACAGGATTATCTCACCAGCCCCTGGAGTGAGCTGGAATTCTTTCCAGGGCTTGCTTGTTTTCAGCAGTCACTCCAGCCAGATCTGTGCTGTGACACCATGAGGTTTGGTGCAGGTTAAAGCGCTCTGACTTTCAGAGAAGTATCTTGCAGAGTACATAAATGTTGCCGAATTTGCTTTACAAGCAGCTGTTGTTGAGCTGTTGATATCCTACTCAAATAATTTAGGCAGGAGGTGAAAGGTCAAGAACATAGCAAAAGTGAGCTCAGCTGTTTAAGCTGTTCCAAGGGAGACTTTGATATGTAAAAACCCTGATGGTTTTTCCATATCTTTAGGAAGATGGTAGTCTGAATGTGAGGAAATGAATTCATTCTGTTCCAGAAGTGGCAAATGCACATCTGTAGCCTTTGGAAGTGGATCTTGATTAATAAAAGCAAAAAGAATAGCGAATTCCTTTTTTTTTTATTTTATTTTATTTTTTTTTTTTAGTTTAGAGTGGGAATGTGGGATGTACAGTAGATTTGAAATGCAAATTTGCCCAGGTCATGTATCAGCACTTGCAGCTGCTCTGGCTATATCATTACCTCCAGTGTTTCAGAAAACTCATTTCAGTTCTTTTATTTCTTCAGACTTTCCTCCTTCATCTATGAAGACAATAATTTTCTTCCTTCATCTAGGACTGTTCCTAGAAATGTCCTTGCTGTGCTCATCTTTCTCCCAGCCTTGCACCTTCTCATCTCTTGCTGTCACAATGCTTCTTACCCTTCTCTTCAGCTGCTTTGTCCATTCTCTTCAGTTTTCTGCTATGTACTAGCTTTTGCTCCTCCTGCCAAGTACTTCATTTCATGTTCTCCACATACTGTCTTCTGCTTTTCCCACTCACTGTGAGAGGGCAAGAACTGGCTGAGGCAGTTCTTCCACCCACTGAGAGAGATTGCTCCAGCTGTCACTGGCTTTTTGCATCTGTATGTAGCACTAGTGCTTTGTTCTTGGAGTGTTTTGTAGTACAAATGAAGTACTACCATGCATTGTTTTTATGTCTCTAACATCAATCTTCATAAAGCTTTTCCTTCATCTTTGTTCAGTCCTGTGAATTACATTAAGCTGCTTATTCTGTGCTGTGAGTTGCAAGTCTGCTACTTTGTTCTTATATCCACCCTTTAAATTTTGTCTGTTTTATAAATGCAGAACCAGATCAGATCTTTCCTTCTCTGTACTCCTCCTTCAGTGTAAGAATTTCTTTCCTTTTCTGCCTCCTTTTCATTCCAGAGTGCACCCTTCCCAGCATTTGCAGTACAGATTCTCACTTAATTATTCTTTAAGAAAGAACTGAACTGACCTTTTGTCAGCCTTAGTGTCTCCTCAGTGCAATTTTTACAACTCTCTTTCTGATATCCTTTTTATCACCTCTGATCAGATATCTCTTTAAAAATTAATAGTGATAAAATAATACTTAAGCAGCACTTCAGGATTTAGTTCTGTTCTTGACACTGTCAGTGTCAAAATGTCAGATTATGTCAATCACAGAGTTGCTCTGCATTGTCCAAAAAAGCAAGTGAAGCTAAGTAAGCCTTTTTCTCCTAATTTGAAGCAAGTGGTTGGTTCCTCAGTGCCTTTGAAAATGTGCAACTGCTTGTGAATTTTTATTGTAAGGAAATATCAGAGCATAAAAGCTTTTAAAATAAGAAGCAATATAACTTGGTATTCCAGAGCTGCTTCTGTGCCTGTCCAGATGTGGGAGCATTGCCTGCGGGAACTGTTAGCTATAATCTTAGAACCCACATTCGATTCTTCTGATATGTTAACTTTTTGCTAGGCAAGGAGCACTGGTCTTTAAGTGAAGTACATGACAGCATCATACTTTCACGATATATATTCATGTAGCAATCTCATAGCAAAATTAGGCAAAGTAAGTAAAAGAGCAATTTTAACTGTTTTGAACAATTAATGTTTTCATTTTTCATCCTCTTTTTTGTACCTAATTAAACAATCTGGACACTGTCAACTTAAAGCCAGCCTCAGGAAGCACTATACACCTTTATAAGTCAGTTTTGAAAACTGTGTTTCTCCATGAATCTGCTTGGTCTCCTGGATGTATTTTTGCTTTGGGGTGAAACTACACGTGGGTCCTAAGATTAAAGAAAAAAATGTGCATTTATTATGAGTACACATATAATCTGAAATAATTTAAGCTGCGGCAAGATATCCTCTTCAGCAAAACTGAAGAAGAGCAAAGAAACAAAACAACCTGTGATTTGGTCCAGTCCTTTAAATATAAATAAAAAATGAAAGAATATTCTAGTAGCTTTTGTCTTAAAATTACTTTTGTGACAAAATGGTTTCTTAAGTGCCCAGGTACCTCCTAAGATGCAATAGAAGTAGAAAATTTTGGAGCCAGTGTCTCCCCAGGTTTAACTGGGTTCCAAATCTGCTGAGTTCAGTGAAGTAAGAGGGAAAGGAGCACTCCACTTTACGGCTCTGAGATATTTAACCAGTAGTCCTCCTAGGGATGCTCTTCTCTGCATTATGAACTAATAAAATTCTAGTTTAGATACAAAAGTACTAATAAAAAAACTTCTTCAGAATGTCTTTGTAGGTGACATTGAAATAAATACAGTGAAAGGTGCCCAGTGTATATATTTGTATGTTTATTAAAAAAAAAAAAAAAGAAAAATATGATAAATTTATGTTTTTGTTATTTACAGGGGCAATGTCTGGAGGCTTCAGCTTTCAGGTAACAGATGGCTTGAACTTTGCACCACGACAGATTTTTAGCATCACAGCTCGGTCTCTTGTCATTAGCCTTGAAGTGAACAAAGGACTCAGAGTCTTTCCAGGTCTGTTTTTGACAGCTTATAATTATTTTGTGCACTTAAAAATATTGTGTAGGTAGCAATGTATGCAGTTATTTGCCAGATTGCTAGCTGACTAAAATATAGATAACTGTACTTGGAAACATGCAGCTGTCTGCTTTTAAAAAGAACAGTTACGTTGTCTCAACAGCATTTATTGTTTGTATGGTCCTTAAATTTTTGATATGAGTAGTGCTTGGGGTGATGTAATTTGGCAGTAAAACATGTAAGGCACTATGTCACAATAACACTGTCAGCCTAAGCTCTGAACATTCCTCACTGAGAGTAGTTTAGTTTAAAAGCACTATAATACATTCAAAGAGTTAGAGCAGCATGCTTGTTAGAGGATTCAGGCTCTCTTAGCTAATATTCATCATCATCATCATAGAGTCATCATAGAATGGCCTGGGTTGAAAAGGACCTCTAAGATCATCTAGTTTCAACCTCCTGCTGTGGCAGGGTTGCGAACCAATAGACCAGGCTGCCCAGAGCCACATCCAGCCTGGCCTTGAATGTATCCGGGGATGGGGCACCCACAGCCTACTTGGGCAACCTGTTCCAATGCATCATCACCCTCTGACTGAAAAGCTTCTTCCTAATAGCTAACCTAAATCTCCAATGTTTTAGTTTAAAACTATTTCCAAATGTCCTACCCATGTAAACTAGTACCCCCTCCTATTATACACTCCCTTCAAGTATTGGAAGGCCACAATGAGGTTTCCCTGGAGCCTCCTCTTCTCCAAGCTAAAGAAGCCCAGTTCCCTCAACCTTTCTTCATAGGAGAGGTGCCTCAGCCCTCTGATCATCTTAGTGGCCCTCCTCTGGACTCGTTCCAAGAGCTCTGTGTCTTTCTTGTGCTGGGGACGCCAGGCCTGGACACAGTACTGTAGATGGGGCCTCACAAGAGCCAAGTAGAGGGGAACAGTCACCTCCCTCTCCCTGCTGGCCACCCCTTTTTTAATGCAGCCCAGAACACAGTTGGCTTCTAGACTGCAAGCACACACTGCTGGCTCACGTCCAGCTTCTCGTCCACCAGAACCCCCAAGTCCTTCTTTTCAGCTCTCAAGGAGATCTCACCACAGTCTGTATAAATACCTAGGAGTGCTCCAGCCCAAGTGCAATACCTTGCACTTGACCTTGAACCTCATTAGGTTTTCATGGGTCCACTTCTGTTCAGGTCCCTCTGAATGGCTTCCCTTCTCTCCAATGTACTGACTGCACCACTCAGCTTGGTATCGTCTGCAAACTTGCTGAGGTTGCACTTAATTCCATTTTCTTTGTCATTGATAAAGAAGTTGAAGAGCACCGGTCTCGAGGCTGACCCTTGGGGGACACGACTTGTGACCAGCCTCCACCCAGACATAGAACCGTTGATCACAACAGTGATTTTTGCATGGCAAATAAGAAATGAAGTGCCTGTCCATTGGATGCTTAATCTCATCATACTGCTAGTTCACTTTCTTACTGTTTGAACAGAGTTATGGAGGGCGGCACAGAATAAAGGATGGATAAGAAGGACTGAACAACTTTGTTTTGTATTTTGCATTTGCAGCTAGCTGGGTCAGCATCTGAGGAGGGGACTATTTTTAATTAAAGTATACTGCTGCAGGAGTTAAGAGGGTCTCACCAGTGCCATTTCCTCTTTTGCACTGGGAAGAGTAATTGCTTCTTTAGTTTTCTTGCATCCTGCTTCTTGTTTGCACTACCTTCTTTTTTTTCTCTGAACATGGCCAGAGAGAGACAGGGAGCCAGGAAAGCTCTGTAGATATTTATCTGTATCTTTTTGTTTTATTATTTCACTACAGAAGAGGAGCGCTTCAGTTTCTAAGACTTCATAAATTAAGCTGTATAAACAAAAGCTTGCAAAAAAAGCTACTTAAACATGGGCAACAAGAATAAGATTGTAGCAGCATGATCTTCTTCAGTCAATATAAATGGGATTCAAATAAACCCACTTAAAAGGTTTATTAATCTGTGATTTTGATTGTAAGGTTGCCTTAGGCACAAGGCTTAACAGGAATTCTGTTTTAGCCATAGATAATTGTAACAAAAGTATGCCTGATACTTCTAAAGAATAGTTTCTATTCTTTCTATCAGTTCTACACCTTGGAAAATAGAATATTTCTTTCAGTACTGCAAGCTGTATTCATCTAACCCTCCAACTTCTACTGAACTGTTGCTTGCAAAAATTCTTTTTTTGTGTTAAAAAGTATTGCTAGCTTTTTCGCCTGTTCTCTTAGTGATATGTTTTAAAAACACTCTGGAATTTTACAGGTTTCAGTGGTATTTGTTTATTGTGGCATGACAGTTAAAACAGTGATGGTGCCAGACATTTAACACACACATAAAAACAATAGCTGGTGCTTTGTTATGTTTTATAGCAGTGAGGGAAATGTTACTGTTGAGACAACTTGAAGAATCTTCCCTCTAGGAAATTAAATCTGGAATATATTGTGAAGAATTTGCCATATCTGAATGACTAGGTATGAAGTATTCTTTCAAGCATATTCTGCAATTTCATAACAACATGTATTGCTGTTTTCTTTTGCATTGAATACAGCAAAATTGTGTATTGAGTTTATGGATTTTTTTGTGTCCAACAGCAGCTCATTTTGTTCAGTGTGCTTAATACATGGTGTGATAGATACATGAGCTTTTCTTACGTGTGCTAGGTATCTAGAACATGAATGTTTGCTCTCTTTAAGGAAGCAACTAATTGAAGATGGAATTAGATGAGTTGCTTTTAGAAAAGAAAAGAAGAACTATACGTATCTGTAAACATAGCTGTTTAAGCCAATCAGTAGACAAGATGATCCATAATTGTTCAGCAGTGACTGAAAGATGATTATACCAGAGTAGTTTCCTGATTTTAAGTATTGGCATTAAAAACAGACACCAAAATCATTAGATACTGATAACAGTTTTATGTTATTATGTTCTGCTTGTATGGATTAGCTTGGCCCCACTCTGAATCATGCATCCAGTCTCTCTTTTCTGCACAGTTTGGGTGGTGATACTTCTGCAAACTCTGTGCTCTTGTGCTGGAAGCAGGCAAGCTGTGATTGCACTTCCCTGTCCCTTACCCAGTCTGTTGGCTGGCAAATAACCAGTCTTCTCCCTGTCAAGGCATTGGACCCCTGCAGAACTGCTGCAACTACCAGAAAAAGTCAGAAGAAGTCAGTTCATCCACTTTCATTATGTGTGTTGACTACACTCAGAAGGTTGTGTTAGAGCAGGATCTCATTTCACCGGAGAGTGTGACAGACTCAGAGTCTGTGCTCCTGAATAGTATTTCAGCCTCTGCCATGCAAAGAAGTTCCTTGTGATCAAGTCCTGGATCCTGAGTGAGGTCAGGTCTTTTGGGAAGGAACAGGGATTTTGTGAAGAAAAGAAATAATCACAACACATCACAGTGTAACCATGTTTGGGAGTTACTCTGTCTTAATTTTTTACGGTGCCAGGGCCTGATTTACATTAATAAGGTTGTTGAGAAATAACTGTTTATAGATACACGTGGTCTGATGAACTTTTGTTCTCTGTTCTACATTCTTGATCACATCTGCCGTAGACTCAACACATGCTTGTGCTTCCCTGTGAGTCTGCAATGCAAAAGAGGAAGAAGGATATTAGAGAGAAGAAGAGCGATTTCTTCAATTAGACAGTGAGAGAATTTTTTAGCTCTGAGATACTGCTTTGCTTTTGTAAGCAACACTGGTACACAGAGAAATGGGAAGGTAAAAAGGGCAAAAGAGCCAGAAGCTTTTTTTGTTCATCTTGTTATAACAACTGTATTTCAAAGTAGATGTGATTTTGAACCACAGTGCAACTATGTGTAAACAAGTAGAATCCTGATGTTATGAACAGCTTGCAGAAGATACCCATTCTTTGGTTTGATTACTATGCTTTTCCATCTGAATATTATAGGAGAAAGATTTTGTGTTATTCCTCTGTAAACAGAGGGTAGATTTATAGTGGGGATGGATTGTTAATGCAAACCTGAAGGATTTCTGTTGCTACTTTTGAAACGCTACTTGCAGGAGCATGATGCTCAAGAAAAAACAAGACATAAAAAGAAAGGCAGAAGGGGGGCAGGAGGAGCAGGATTATGAAAATCTGTTGCTCTTCCCAAAGTATTAGTAAACATCAGATTTAGTTTGCTGAGTGTATACCATCAGGAAACTGTATCATTAAATAAAAAAAATGCTAAAACAGGCTTTTTTCTTTTCTTTAGGAAATGATTAGGTTTGGCTTTGTCACATCTGTCAGAAATTGTCCTGGTTTGATTAGACTCCAGGAAGCTCTTTATAATCTCTAAACCAGAAGGTACTGGTTAGTGCAGTTCTGTGTACTAAAAGAACTCCTCAGTTGTTCATCCATCTGAATAATACTTTATTTTAGTTTAGACCATTATTTCTGTGTCTTTCCTAATTTGTTTAATTCAGTACTTATTTTTCAGTTTCATCTAATAAAAATTATGTTTTTTCTTAAAACATGGTTTAATGTCTATCTGTTTAGTAATCTTCATGGTTTTGGTTATCTGTGTTCACCAGAAGATTTACTGTGTTAAGACTTCTCAGCCAAATTATTGGGCCTTTTGTGGGTACCTGCAATTACCAAATACGTTGCCAGTACTGAATTCAGTTATAGTTTGAATTTATTTCTAGATGTGTAATACAGGGACAGTACTTCTTATACAAGTTCCACTCCTTTGTTCATATTGCTTTTACAGAAGTTAGTATTTAGCAATTACATATGCTGAAGAGAACTGTACTTTCTTTCATTTCTGTAAAACAAAGATACTTCATACAGATGTTCTTTTATTGAAAATGTTATGGAAGAGTTGTGTTATCTGGAAGTAACCAAAAATAGGGTAAACTTGCTGATCCTACAAAGCGTTATTAAAATGCTAAGTAGAGTAAGCAGATGAGAGAATGGTTTGTACCCTTTTTGAAAAACTGCTGTTGCAAATCTAAGTAACTTTTAATTGACGGTTTTTAGGTTCCAGGAAACCTATTTCACAACATGATCTGAAAGCTGTAACCAGTGATGTGACCAATGCAGGAAACAGAACTATAACTTTTACGATTCTAGTTTCCCCCAAACTTGGAAGGCTGATCAGAACAAACTCTGATAATACCACTCAGGAAATCGTCAGTTTTACACAGTCTATGGTAAGCATTTACGTTATAATGGATATTTCAGCAGTAGATTGTTATTTCGAAGGGCATCCCAATTGTTTTTTCTTTGTCTGGTAGATTTATATCTGTTTAGTAACCAGACATATGTGACCCATCAATGTGATTGCCCACATTTGCTGTGTCATTAAATATCTGGCATGTAGTAATGAATGCAAGAGGAGCCTTTTCCTCCCTCTCATTGAATACTAACAGAGTCTTGGCAATTTCCACTGTTTTGCTTGTAACAGTATTTTTCAAGAAGAGCTGTTCTGGTGCCATTAACCAGCAGTCAGAGGTTGGAAGCCTTTAGTTTTTGGCAGCAGAAGTAGCCTTGTGCTGTATGAAAACTCCAAGTATCAGATTCATTTCAGCTGTGCACAGTCCTCATGGGTGTCCCCAAGAAGACTTTTATTGACTTGATTGGCTGTGATATTAAGCGTTTAGAGAATCTTAACTGTGATACAGGGTCTCATACTTGAATGATTAAGAACGTGGCAGCTCATGTAACTTGATGGCAAACATTCTGCAGCTGAAAAATAAATCAGTTATGTCTGTTTGCAGAGTCTCTGTGTGCTCTGCACACAGTAAGATTTTCTCAGAAAATCTTATTGGGGAGGTAAAAGGAGCTCAATATATGACTTTACTGTAGGAAAAATTAAGAGGCAATTTGGTCTTAAGCTACATTTACAGATTTTAAAAGAATTAAATGAAGGACTGAGAAAATCTGTTGGCTGGAAAGTGAAGCATGACCAACAAAACAGAAAAAAGACTGGCACTTTTATTCAATGGAATTAAACTTTGAAACAACCTAACCAAGGACTGTGGTGGAATGTATCTCCACCTGAACTGTATAAATCAAATTGAAGACAAGATAGTTTCTCTTAAAACTGTGTTCTAATCTCATCATTATTGTTCTTACTGCAATAATTACTGAGCTGAGTTTTTTCTTAAATTATGAGAGAGGTGAACTGGCTAATGACGCCATTCTCTTCAGTTCCTAAAATGGATGATATTCATGAGCATTAAGTGAAACATTTAAGCATGTCAGAAAATCTTTCAGCTAAGAATGACATCTTTCCTTACAGATAATAATATCTACATTGGACGTTGCTATGGCAGAATATGCCACTTCTTCTCTATAACTTTAATTCTTACTAATTCATAGCTAACTTTGTGTTGAAGTTTGTAAGTTGTGTAAGGATTTGAGCTGTAATAATTTGTGTTCTTCTATTCTCTCTATTTTCTGTTGGGGGTATTTGTATTGCCATTTTCACTTCAAACAAGTAGAGCTAAGTGACTCATTGCAGGTAAAATGAAGATATCTTGACAGGATCACTGTTTATTCTGGCAGAGACTGTGGTATCCTGCTACTAGGGGAAGGAAAGAGATCCAAAATAAACTTAATGTCTAGCAAGCTATAGCCACAATATCAGCGAGAAAATGACATTGACAGTGCAGGCATTATATATTTTTCATTGCACAGAGAATTTCAGTTTCTTGTTTCAAAGCTTGTAAATCTGATTTGAAATGAAAAGTATTTTGATGTAGTTTCTTTGTTTGCATTTTCACTTACTTAACTCTTTGTTGTGGAACTTAGAATTTTGCTTCTAAAAAGGATAGGTGGATTATAAAAAGAAGTTAGCACTTTTGTTGTGGTGCTGAACTCTTCCACATTCCCTGTGGTTTACTGCCTCTTTGCCAAAAAGCAAAAGAAAAAAAAGTTGCATTCCAGTGGAATTTTTCAAGGACAGTTGTTTTGCAGCCAATAATAAGAAAATTAATTATGCATTAAACACTCTAGAATAGCACAGTAGTTTTGAACAGAAGCATTTTTTTTCTCTGTCAGTACTGTCTATGATAGTTTGCAAGTATTTTCATTTTGCAGAAGTCCATAATTTCTTCATTATATTTGAAGTTATTGCAGAGGTAAACAAGGCAATACTCACCAGTTTCATTTTCTTACTAGTGCAGATATTAGCATGGTTTTGCATTTAAAAATATATTGCCCTAGGAAGATTAACAGTTGATAAACACCACTGAATTTATCAGAAGCATATTGTGCCTTGGTACATTAATTTGCTTTCTTTATCTTGAAGTCATACTGCCATGCTTTGAAAAATTGTTTTGAAGCAACATATCATTTTAATATCATTTTTGTGTGCTTTGTCCCATAATAGCTATTAAGAATTAAATCGATATGGAGGTTGTGGATGCCCCATCCCTGGAAGCATTCAGAGCCAGGCTGGATGTGGCTCTGGGCAGCCCGGTCTAGTGGTTGGCCACCCTGCACCTAGCAGGGGGATTGAAACTAGATGTTCTTTGAAGTCCTTTTCAACCCAGGCCATTCTATGTCTCTATGACTCAGTATAGGGAAAACATAAACCTGATGACAAGTTTATTCACAGTAAGGTTGTCTGTTTTTGAGACTGCTGAGAAAACTTGACCCTGAAAGCTCTTTTTTCCTAGTGATCTCAGGGGGGGCTGTTAGAGTGGTTTCAGGATTAGCTCTCTCTATAGCTACAGATCAAATTCTGAAATGCTGAATGCTTCATCCATGATTGCAACAGCGATTTTTTAAATTTCTTTTTCACACCTTTTAAGCACAAATCATGGTAACATTTGCTATTAAGTTTCCCTCAGTTTAACAAGTTGTGTGAAGTGCATTACAAGCCACAGACTTAGAGCCAACACCATCTCAGGGGTCTCTTTGGCAACTAGAAACTAACACAGTTAGTTTCTAACTGGTCAGTAGTTACCTGGGAAGCTGCCAAGTGTTTAGAAGGTAACTGTCTTCTCTTCAGGTCAGTGAATGAATTGACAGGTAAATGTGGAATGTACTGAATGAGATGTAGTTATTATTACAGTTTTCTGGCTGTTAGGAATCCTATTGAAGTTTCAGTATATTAAGATACTAATCTTAAAGTTCTGGTATTGTTCCGGCTGATGAGAATCCTGGTATGAAGATACTTTTGCTTTTAGGTCTGAACTAATGAATGATTTTGTCTAGTACAAATACTTTTTTCAAGTTTTCTTGTCTAGCAAAAAGAAAAATTTTCAAAGAGAGAAATGCAAGATAATCTTTCAACATAAGCTAGATATACTAGATATACTAGATATAGTCATTGTACGTGGACTAAGGTATGAAATCCTTTCTTGAACAATGGTCTTATGACTGTTTTCTGTCCTTATTCTTCTGTATTTAAAACCATTCTCCTTTTTTCCTATGGCTCTCTTTGCCCAAAAAACAGGTGAATGAAGGTGTGATCATGTATGAGCACTCAGAGGCAGAATCAGCTGACTGGAGTGCAGAAGATTTCTTTACATTTACTGTCTCTTCTCCACCATCAGCTTTGGACCCTCAGATGTTCCATATTGTCATTTCATATGAAATTCCCAGACATGATAGGAACAGTCGTCTTCTTTCAAATACAGGTAAAAATAACATACTGTTTGGCTCTCCACAGTAATGTAGTAGGATCTGTTAGGCTTCCAATGAACAAATATGAAAAATCAAAGGGAAATTTTTTTTCAGTATCCAACGATCAGAATATTTTAATCACAGAGTATAGTCTAGAAAGTAAGTGCATCTCTGCATCTTTAAAGATATGATTAACCACCTTATTTCAGTTCTTCCTGCTTCTGTAGTGGATATTTTCCATTTTGGTAGAGATAATGAAAGCAATACCTGGAGCTTTGAGATACTAATATTTCTTTAATGATGCTCTATTATCAATAGAAAACCCTGTTATTTTAGGATGGATCTCTTTTAAGATTAGTTATAATATATATCTAGCTATGGCATATGGGAATCAAGGATGCCATGGAAGAAAAATATTTGTTTCCATGTTCTCTTTTTTGAGCATTATCAATTTTTGAAACACAAATCTAATTTCAGAAACACTGCAACTTCAGAATACTGAATTTCTAAGACTCTTTTTTCCTTTCTGCTAGGTACTGTAGTCCAGGAAGGAGGTAGAATATTAATCAACAAAACACATTTAGATGCTTCAAATCTATTGATCAAGCTACCTGAAGTACAACGCTCCATGTATGAAGTCTGGTACCAAGTTGTGTCTTTACCCCACCATGGCGTAATAATTGTTGGAGAAAGAAATGTTACAAAAGAAAAACCTAATTTCTCACAATACATACTGAACAAATTTGGAATTGTGTATGTGCATGATAATTCTGAATCACTTATGGACAATTTCACTTTTGCTGTTTGGTTAAACCTAAAGACCAAGTCTGCAACAAAGCCCCATGATGAAGTTTTAGAAGAGATGTTTAATATTACTGTTATTCCAGTGAATGATCAACCGCCAGAACTGAAGACTAAAAAGCTGCACCTGAAAGTCCTTCAGGGAGATGTGTCAGTGCTGGGGTCAGAGAATCTGAAAGTTGAAGACTTAGACAACACCCCAGCAGAGCTCAAATATTCCATTGTTAGCAACCCCAATAATGGTTATTTAGCAATGAAGAGCAATCTGAGTATCTCTATACAGGATTTCACACAAGCTGATATTGACAGTGGTGGGGTTTGGTTTGTACAGGATGGAAGTTCTTCTTCTGGGGTGTTTTATTTCAGTGTGACTGATGGTAAACATCGTCCTTTATACAAACTTTTCAGTCTTGAAGTTGTACCAATTAGTCTTGTCCTGGTCAACCTTACGGATGTTGCACTTCCACAGGGTCAGACATCTGTCACTATTACTAACATACAGCTTTCAGCTGTCACAAATGGAAAAAGCACTAATATCATGTATGAATTAACTCAACCCCTCAAGTATGGGCACCTGATGATTGAAAACGAGCAGGTTACTAAATTTGAGCAGACAGATTTGAACTCGGGAAGACTTTCTTACCACCTGTCAAATTTCACTGTGTTTAAAGAAGTACTGATATTTATGATATTCACTGCAGAAAGTAATCTAACAGAACAAGTGCTGAACATTACAATGAAGCCTTTAGTGCAAGTTGTATCTGACATGCAGATTTCAAATCAAGCAGTTTATAAACTCAGAAGCAATGACCTGGATGCTTCTGAGCTAGCCAATTTAACAAACAGTAATCCTAGATTTGAAGTTATAGTGCCCCCAGCTCATGGGAGGATTGTAAAAAAGAGGTTTGTGAATGATGCAGTGTTTGAAGATATTCGGACATTCACCCAAACTGATATTGATGAAGGTACTGTGCTTCTCAACATAGATACAAATATGACAGGCATTGATCTTTTAAATGATTCATTCATGTTTGTGCTCAGGGCAGATGATGTGCAGCCTGCTGTTGGCCATTTTGAGTATTCCATAGTGCCATACAGTCCTCCTCTTGTGCAAAATTTCACAGCTGAAGTGCCTTTCATAACCAGTATGACCACTTTAAAGATTCCAACTACCTCAAATGACAGGGTACTAGTTTACTCCCATGATGAAGTACCTACAGTAGCACCAAAGAAGACTGTCCCAGACATGTGGCTAGGTCGGAAACGCTGGGGAAATCAACTTGAGGAAGGTCCATCGCTAAATCTGGCAGTGGGAACAAGGGGATCTGTAGGGACTGAGACCACAGATCAGATTAATGCCATGAGCTCCAGAGAGCAAGCACGTGAAAGCAGCAATCATTGGTACATCATTATACCCCTGGTCCTGGTGTCTGTGTTACTCATTATTGCTATTATTTCTGTGTGCATTTTGCTAATGTGTCAGAAGAAAGAGAAGGCAAAACCACTTGTCAAAAATCAAACAGATGTAGTCCTCAGTAGTCCAGGTCATTGTCTGGAACGGAGCTTGACTGTACCCACTGTTACAGTGACCCCTCTCCTGAAGGGAGCTGAGGGAAATACATCCTCTGCACTGATGGCAGTAAGGCATGAACAGCTGCTTCCTACAGTACTTTTTCGGACTGTAGAACAGCCTTTGCAAAATAGTTGGTTAAACCTAGATCCTGAAATGATCCAATATTGTCGAAAAACAAACCCAACTTTGAAGCATAGTCAGTACTGGGTGTAGTTCATGGCCAGCTTTGGTCATGCCAACTGACGTAATGTGGAAAGGAGAGCATACCTTATTAACATACAATTCTTTATTATGATTATTTATAATAGGTCTAATGGTGCATTGTTTGTTAGGTGAAACCCAGATAGCTGTGATATAGTGAAAGTCTTATTGATTACAGTGGCCATAAATTGAGTTTTCCCACCTCATCAGACGCAGAACTTGTCCTTTTTGTGCACCCTGTGTATGCAGTGTTTTTTATTTTCCATGACAAGGCTAAAGTAAAATGTACTGTCATGGATTATATCTATTTTAACATTATTATTATTTTGAAGAACTAAGTTTGCTGTAAAGATCCTGTGTTCTTTCCTGAACTGGTACTTCTATGTTAAGAACTTGAAACTGTTTTTACAAGTAGTTATCAAGGTGCTAATCTCAATAATGTCATTTTGACCCAAAGGCTGTTCAAAGGCCAATACTAAAGAAACAAAGCTGTCATTATTTTGCCATGTATTCATCTGGGTCAGTGAGCTTGAAATCTAGCATTCATTTTAGCAGTAATTCTATGACAGCAGCAGTAAGTAAAGGTAAAATGCTTACTGTGAGATGGCTGTTTTTTTGATTGTTTGTTTTGTGTTTTCCTAATTTGTTGCTGGAATCTAGCCTTAATATCTGGTAAAATGCATCCAGGGCCTCTAATCCACATGGCAAAAACTGTATCTCTGCCAGTCAACCTTCCTGCTGAATTATTTTCAGGCTTAGCTTATGTCTGGAAGAACATATCAAATGTCCTATTTCTTATTAAGGGCTAAGTTCTGACTTCAGTGAAGCAAGAACAGCTCTCTTTTTGGTCTGTGAGTCCAAGCAGATGATAGTATCATCAAATCCTTTGCTGCAAACTACTCTGTGTGGTGGAGCTACTGACTGAATACTGTGACTAAAGACATACTCCCTTCTGAAGGTTCACAATTTACCATTCATCTCCCAGAATGCAGGTCTTATGTGCCTTATGCTCTCTGTCAGGTACTATGTACTCTTAATTTAGCTGTTAGTAAAATGTGCAGTTATTTCTCTGTAAGGATAATGTTTTTGTATTTATGAAAATGAATAGTGATGTGCAGTCTCCTGTTAAGGTCCATTCTTTCTTTCACTGAGAACAACAGCAAAATTCTTATTGACTTCAGAGGACAAAATGACCAATGAACTTCTCATATATTTTTGTATCAACTTCTAGGTAGCTTCTCTGTAAAAACCCTGTCTGTAAATGTCTCACTGCTGCATTGTTATTATTAACACTGGAATAATATTTTTGTTTTATCCAAATTACTGCTGTTTTTGCTTTTATAGCATGGCCTAAACGTCCTTGGTGCTGTTAATTTCACAGTACTTCATTTTGGTTGTCCTTTTCTGCTGTTGATTAATTGCATTTCTGGCATTTACATATTTCAGTTGAGGGAAGTGTTTACCAGTGAGAAGGGCCAGACTAAATCTCTGGTTACTGCTGTGTCCCAGGAGCTAAATACTTGAGTAGCATGCCCAGTTAGAGACATTTTAAAGCAGTACACTGTTCAGAGCCTGCTGCCAGGTCAGTGTCAGTGGAAAATATGCAGGCAACATTTTCAGCTGTTTTAGTTAGTGGAGAGATATGAATCCTTCATATGCTCAAGCTAAAATATATTTGAAGCATATTATGCAATTTTTGTTTGTAATTACCATTTTTTCTTGATGCCACTGTGAGCAGGCTTGAGATCACCTTCTACCTACTAGGCCTTTCTAGTTAAAACAAAAACAAAAACCTTTGCTATTTTAGAAGCTCTCGGCAAGAGAGGTGGTGCTGTCAACCATTGAAGGGATACCCTAGCATCTTTGTGGAGGTGCAGTTGTAGTCTCCTGCCACTTCCTGAGACCTTATTTGCTATCACCAAGCAAAAAGCAACTTCCTCCAGATTCCAGCTGTCAGCAGAGTGTTTGCAATACCTTTCCTCCAGTGCCATTTAGCCAGTAGCAGGAAGTCAATTCCTCTCTATCTACTCCAAGGCTCCACTCCAATTATAAAAAATAATAATTAAGAGTTATAATTCAGTAGTTCCATGACACTTAAAGAAGCATGCCTCACATTTCCCTATGGTTGAGACCTTCCTGTCAACACAAAAAGAAATGTCATACTCTGGAATGAAGTTAAAGCTACCATGGAATGAAGTTATATGCTTTTACTGCAGTATCAAAATATTGCCACTGGAGTCCACATTTTAGACAGGCTGAAAAAAAAAAAATAGAGATGGAATATGTGCTTAAGAGACTCTTTAAACTATGTATCATTGTAAAGACAGGTAAGTGAGGTTGCTGTTTGTTGTGCCATAGAGATGGAAGATAGGGCTACTGCAATGGTGGCAATGGTAAAAAATGAGGCCTCAACATATTATCAAGTGAATTAAAAAAACAGTAATGCAATTAGAACTTCAGAACTGAATGGACCCTCTGCATATCTGTATTTGTATTCTCTGAGCAAGAAATAATAGAAAAATACAGAGAAGATTGCTGAATTTTTGTTTGTGTAAGCATAATGAACTAAATTCTTATTTGTTTCAGAATTGCTTTTGCCTGACAACAGAAATTTACTTCAAGAAGAACCAGCGCTATGAGCTGTGTTTTAAGAACAGGGCTCAGTTTCTAGAGCGTTGACTTTTTTCTTTAATAAAAACCTGAAGGCCCAATTGTGATGTGTTTCAGCATTTAGTTTGCTCGCCCAATGCTGCTGTTACACTGTGCCGTAATACTGGCCATACTACTGAACTTTTGGATGAGAACTCTCTATAGAGAAGTATACTGTATCACTGATTGCTGGGTTTCATATAAAATGCTCTCTTTAATATTATAATTGATAATTACATGTGGATTTTACTTTAGTATCGTAACCAGAGTCCTGTTTAAAAAAAGGAGTGCCTTAATGTAATGTAAGCTTTTCCACTGGACAAGTCAGAATAGTCTCTGTCAGATAAGGGTTTATCTTATCTCATCACGTGTCCTCTTGGCTGTGTTCAACATGGGCATGAACATAACATTAAAATTAATTCATTTCAGGCCAGTCAGTCTCCCCTCCATTCCTAGAAAGCAATGGGACAGCTTGTTCTGGACGCCATCACCCAAGCAATTGGAAGACAAGAAGGTTATCAGGAGTAGTCAACATAGATACACCAAGGAAAAATCTTGCTGTGAGAAAACATTCTGTGATGTCCTCAACAGCTGAGAAGGTGGGGATAAGCAGTGGATGTTATGTATCTTGACTTCAGAAAAGTGTGGACACCGTCTCCCACAGCATTCTTATTATGAAACTTAGAAAGTGGGGGATAGATGTATTTACGGTGGGATGGATTGAGAACTGGATGACTGGCAGAGTTCAGAGGGTGGTCATCAGAGGTACAGAGTCTGTTTGGAGGCCTGTAACTAGTGTTCCCCAAGGTCAGTACTGAGTCTGCTCTTCACCAGTGACCTGGATGACGAGATGAGTAGAGTCTACCCTCAGCAAGTTTGCTGATGATATAGAGCTGGGAGGAATGGCTGACACTCTGGCAGATGGTGCTACTATTCAACAAGACCTGGACATACCGAAGAGTTGGGCAGATTGGAACCTGATGAGATTTATCAGGAGCAAGTGTAGAGTCTTGCACCTGGGAAGGAATAACCACATTCATCAGTACAAGATAGGGGCTGACCTGCTGGAGAGAAGCTCTGCAGAGGACAACAGGTTGGTCATGATCCAGCAGTGTGTCCTGGTGGCCAAGAAGATAGCCTGAGGTGCATTAGAAAGAACGGCCAACAAGTTAAGGGAAGTGAACCTCTCACTCTGCTCTATCTTGGGGAGGACACATCTGGCGTACTCTGTCCATTTCTGGGCTTCCCAGTTCAGAAAAGATGGATCTCCTAGAAGGAGTCCAGTAGAGGACCTCAAAGCTGATAGAGAGCCTGGAGCATCTCTTGTATAAGGACAGGCTGAGCAACCTGGGTCTGTTCAGCCTGGAGATAAAAAGACTGAAAGGGGATCTGATTAATGTTGATAAATATCTAAAGAGAGGTAGGAAGCAAATGGGTGAGGGCAGGCTCTTCTTGGAGATGTGTAGCGATAGGACAAGGAGTGATGACCTAAAACTTGGACATAGGAAGTTCCATACTAACATGCAGAAGAAATTTATTGTAAGGGTGATGGAACACTGGAACAGGTTTCTCAGAGAGTTTGTGAAGTTTCATTCTATGGAGATATTCAGGACCCATCTGGACACCTGCCTCTGTGACATGCTGTAGGGAACCTGCTATTGCAGGGGGGTTGGACTCTGATCTCTCGAGCTCCTCTCCAACCTCTGTAATTCTTTGATTTGAATTTTCTGAAACAGCACTGCATTGGGTGTATTTCAAGAAGTTTTATGTTATTTCACTACACATGCTTAGGATATCTTGAAGTACCAGTTTCTTAAATGTTAATATATTAGTGCTGTTTTGTCCCTGTTCTAAAAGCCAGTACAACAAGCCTCTTGATACCTGTCAGCCACATACATCAGTCATGCTGAATTACAGAGCTGTTTTAATATTAATTGTGTGCCCCATTATCAACCAGATACAGTAAAAATGTAAGCACCTTATGCTTGCCTTAGGGAATAAGGCAGTGTACATCTTGACTGGCTCTGTGGGGAAGATTTGAGCATGTGAGCTGGCACTCTGGGAGACCTAGACCAGCACTGGAGCTGACTATTAATCATTCTTCAAATGTTCAGAAATGCTGATCTCAATTGAAAATTAATCCATATATTCCTGATGACAAAAATAAATAACCCTTATACCCTGGCTCTACTGAAGCAGAATTGTTAAACTGGAGCAAAAAAAGATTATTTGAAGACATTATTTGTGTGTGCTTGCAGCCTGGAAGGCCAACTGTGTTCTGGGCTGCATTAAAAAGGATGTCTAGCAGGGAGAGGGAGGTGATTGTCCTCCTCTACTCAGCTCTTGTGAGGCTCCATCTACAGTACTGTGTCCAGGCCTAGGGCCCACAGTACAGGAAGGATGTAGGGCTCTTGGAACAGGTCCAGAGGAGGGCGAGTAAGATGATCAGAGGGCCGGAGCACCTCTCCTATGAGGAAAGGTTGAGGGAACTGGGCTTGATTAACTTGGAGAAGAGAAGGCTCTGGGGGACCTCATTGTGGCCTTCCAGTACTTTACGGGAATGTATAACAGGAGGGAGAATGGCTGTTTACAAGGGTGGATAGTGATAGGACGAGGGGGAATGGTTTTAAACTGAGACAGGGGAGGTTTAGATTAGATATTAGGAAGAAGTTCTTCTCACAAAGGGTGGTGACTCACTGGAACAGGTTGCCCAAGGAGGTTGTGGATGCCCCATCCCTGGAGGCATTCAGAACCAGGCTGCATGTGTCTCTGGGCAGCCTGGTCTGCTGGTTGGTGACCCTGCACCTAGCAGGGGGGTTGAAACTAGATGATCATTGTAGTCCTTTTCATCCCAGGCCGTTCTATTCTATGATTCTAACAATCAAGTGATTTAGATAGATAGAATTTTAAACTTTATGCTAAAACTGCTTCCCAATTTCAGGATACTAAATTAAGATAATATTACCTCATATTGCACCAAATACTTTCTTCAACCGGATTTTGATCTGTCTTTAATCAGAACTTGGATGGTCTATTGTTGTTTCTATAGCTTGAGATAAGGAACTCCTTTTTTGAAATGTCAGAAATTCTGGTGGCAGCAAGAGAGCAGCTTTCCCTGGGCCATGACACAGCATCTTGACACAGAAACTTGTAAGCCCCAGCTACAACTGTCATTGCAGCAGCCTATTAAGACCTGCTAGACCAAATCCAGCAGTGAATCCACTGCAGTGTGCTAAGCTACAGGCATACATCCAGCCTGCACTATTTTTTTTTTCAAGCCTACCCTTCTGATGTTATGTTGAAATACATTCTGTGAATATTATTAAAGATGCTAAAAATAATTGTTCTGGTATATTCAACAGAAACTCTGTTTATCTTCACTTGTTTCAAACAGTCATTTTTGCCGGAGCCTGCCTACCCCAAATCAGTCCTGGACCAGAATGTTCTTTCATTGCAATCTATAGTTTCACATCTGTTTATAGGGGGACGTGGTATGGTGAAATGCTTGCTTTGCATGCTCATTTCCTCATTTCCAGTCTTCTAGGTTATTTCTGTGGTAATCCTTTGTACATGCTGGTAACCACTACCTAAACATGAAGTTGTTCACAGACTGAAGTTTTAGCTGCATCATGTTTTCAAGGCCATGCAGAGAGAAGAACATCAGATCTCCACCATTCATTGGGGGAAAATGAAAACTGAGCTTTGTTATGGCATATGACTGAGCATCAGAACTGTCTGAAGAAGCACGGGCAAACAGCTCAGAATAAGTCAGTGGTGTAGTTTATAGCATGTGACCCATTGAACTCATTACACAGCAATTTTCATGTATAGTACAGGAAAATGTGTCTAAATGAAATTCTAGACAGAATTTTAAAATAATCAGATATCAAAAGTACACGTCTCATATACAGATTCAAATATGTATAAATGAGGTTAAATAAGTAAGTCAGAGAAATGTACAAAGTTGATTTCAGACATGCAAAATCTCCAAGAGACTATTTGCTACCAGGAAGTACTGGGGAAGATGTTGGTTAGTGTGGGGGGAACTAGGGGGGCAGGACGGGGACATGTTCACTGGGGTAGGTGGAAATATATGAAAACCACAGACGGTCATTTAGAAGCAAACTTGCTTCTTTGAAAGGCAGAAGTGATGTGGAAGTGCCACGTGATTATGACATGCCACATGGCTTGGAGAAGTCACCTCTCTGCCAGAAGAACAAGAAGAAATGACAAGTTCTCTTGCCACGCAAAGAGAGAAGTTCAATCAGCTTTTTTTTTATGCATTCCTTCGCAGCTGGTAGGAGATTCAGTAGAATTAAACTCGCTTTGGCATGAACATACTGAATGTAGACTTAGAAGATGGCTGGCTGTCAAGAAGTCCAGTGGTGGGGATAAATCAGATCAAATCACAAAGATTCTTCGTTATATAATGATTGCCCAGTCTTGCTGAGCAGAGTTGGCCAGGAAATAGCAGAGAGATGTTGAAGCCTGCTGGCATGAATATTACCTTAAAGATAGAGCTGCCATGTTCTTACTCTCTTGGTCAAACTGCAGAAGGGAGCAAGGTGAAGGGGCAGGACAAGGGGAAATGGTTTTAAGTTGAGGTAGGGAAGATTTAGGTTGGATGTCAGGGGGAAGTTCTTTACAGAGAGAATGGTGAGGTGCTGGAACAGGCTGCCCAGAGACGTTGTGGATGCCCTGTCACTAGAGGTGTTCAAGACCAGATTGGATGGGGCCCTGGGCAGCCTGGTCTAGCATTAAATGGGGAAGCTGGTGGCCCTGCATGTGGCAGGGGGGTTGGAGATTCATGATCCTTGAGGTCCCTTTCAACCCTGGCCATTCTGTGATTCTTTGATTCTATGAACTTGCCTGAGGTTCTGACTGTAATCACAATTAATGATTAATGGTAACTCTAGTTAGTTGCAAATGCTGAAAGGTATGTGAAAGAATGGTGACGGAGGTTCCGACTCAGAGTACACAACAGGATGGACCTGAGCTTAGCCTCTGAAAAAAAATGAGGACCATTGAGGGCCATTCTCATTTACACATGGCTTCATAAAACAATTAAAAATCAGTGCTAGAACTAAGATTAGATCAGGGGCAAAGTAAGCAGAAGTGGTATAAATCAGCTGGAAGAAGAGTTGCTTGCTTCATAGCACCTCTTAGGCAGTCAGGAATATGCAACCAAGGTCATAAACCCTGTTAGGAATGCTGCAGCTTAAGCATCAGTGTTTTCTGACTCTAAATCACCTTTCTCCTCATTGTAGAATTTAGGATCATTTAGTCTTTCCCCTTTATTCTGATTCCTGGGATTCTGGGAGGTCTGCTTGTTGGTCCTCGCTTCTGAATACTGGACCTGGCCTCAGCCCTGTGCTTCTGTCCATGCGTCCTGAGATTTGTGGGTTGGTAAACTACTGGCCACCACAGTCCTGAGTTGTGGCCTACTCTAATCCGAATCTACAAGTTACATTTAGAGACACATTATACCCTACGTCCATTTCTGTGGTTCCACAAGATGCTTCAAATGTAAAATGGTGAGTTCAGGGTGTTCCTGTTGTATTGCCACTGCCAGGAAGCAGTGCTCCCCCAGCCCCAGCATGGCTGCAGCACACCTGGTGCCTGGCACACCTCAGACATTTAATAGCTCCATGTTAAGCCTTTCTGGAGACCTCTCTGCCCCTCTTCAAATCCTGGGAGCAGCCCTCTTGTGTGGGAGGTGCTGGATGGGCTGTGGTGCAGAGCTCCTCTACTCCAGTTTTGTAGGCCACCACTTTCACCCTGCTGGAGAACTCTCAGGCTGACAGCTGTGACCAGAGGGCAGTTCTCTGTGAAACCCAGTCTTATCCAGTTCCTGTGAGAAATTTCACTTCCTTCTTGTGCTTTTTTTTTTTTTTTTTTTTTTTGGTGTGTGTGTGTGCATGTGTGTATGTGTGTTTCCAGAAAGCCAATTCTGCTGTGACTCACTGCCCTCCTGTAGGAATCAATGGGCAGCTGGGGCTGGAAATGGGCTTTGGTGTCCCCGCTGCCATCCAGCTGGATACACTGAAAGGACAAGCCTAAGAAATGCCAAAGGTGGATCTAGCAAGTATCTCATGAAGGTACTTGGTACTTTATGTGTGATTTCTCACATGTTTAGGGCAGAGCTACAGGACTCTTGAGTGCTTTGGAGATGACACAAGTGTTTGAAAGGCACACAACCAGCTGGGAACTGACTGGCTGGAAGTAACATCACTGGGTTCTCAGCTCAGAGAGATCTGTCACAGAGATGTAGCGGGTGTGAGTGCTATTGGCACCTGCTTCCTGTTAGCCACAGACAGGAACAGAGAGAAGGAACATCTAGCAAGTGTTTCATACGGAGGTAAATCACAAAAAAGGACGTGGGTGTCAGTACACCTGCCTAGTTGTCACCCCAACAGAGAGTGACACATGTGAAGGCTGCACATAGATGACACATGTCCAGTTGGTTGGAGGCCATCCTCACACTGCTGGCCCTTGGACATGCCTTGGGCTGGGGCCAGGACTGGCAATTCAGCATAGAAAGTGACATGAGTTTCTCATAATTCTGCCAAGTTTAACCACCAGTGCAGCAGTGACAATGAGACTAGGCAGCAATAACACATTCCCAAACCTCTTAACAACCCTATTTCTGCCAGTGGCAATATAAATGCAGCAGCTGAAGAGGAAGCAAAATCTTGGACCTCTGCTCCAGCCAGCACCTTGGCAGCGTTAACAACGAAAACAAGTTGCCACTGTATTTGCAAAGCTCTGCCAGGTAAGGATGCTTTTCCATACGTTTATTGTCTGGGGCACTCATATGTCATTAGGGAAATCTGTGTTTAAATTGCCTTTGTCTCTGATTGAAAGAGGTGTGATCCCCACCTCCTGCAAACTGACTAGCAGCAGATTTTATTTTTAATAAGTTATATACAGCCACTGACTCCTAGAGTGGTGGTGTCTGAGCATTCAAATCTGCTCTGACAAAGGCACTGCATAAATTTTCTTCTCCAGAGAACTGCCCTTAGATGTTAACAACAGAGGCTTTTTTACCCATTGTTTTACAGCTTTTGATGTTTTTGTTTTCTGTTTTCAGATAAACAGGCTCACAGAAATCATATCATGACAGTCTCAAGCAAAGCCATTCTTCTGACGTATTACTGTTACCCAGCAGCTACCCAACAGACATGTTTTCCCATTGCTTTTGTGACAATGCTTACTTTGTTTTCCAGTTTTAATGAGTTACATTCAGCTATGTCTGCTTCTTTCTTGACATGTTGTTTTCCCATTGCTGCACCAGCTCCTAATGTTATTCTAACACCCAGTAAAATTGCTCAGCTGGCAGCAGATGTGAATCTACCACAGCAGATTCTCAGATGTGTACAATACAAAACCACACTGTTTTGTATAATCCATGCTGGTTTTGAGCTGCCCTGGGCCCACCTTAAAAGAAAATATGAGTGTATTTTGGCCTGTTTTTTCAAAACGCAAGAGACAGCCTTCTCAGACACTGCCTGGCGTTGCTGCAGTTCTATCTCAATAGAAACTCTTTTTCTGAGTGCAGAAGTAACATTAAAAGGGTTCTAGCTTTATCTTCAATATCTGTAATGACTCATTGTCAGTTTTCTCATGTCAGAGTATTTCAGAACCTGTTTATTAATCTGAAAGTGATAGAAACAGCTGTATGTCTAAGCTACAAATGAACAGAGGACAACATTGCTAAGCACAGAGAGGGAAAGAAAGACCCCTTTTCAAGCATACTGAGAACAGTATTTAACAGGAAGGTGGCATGAAATTGCATTGGCTCAAATATTTTATGCACAATACATAGCCAGTTTTGTGTATGGTAACAACTGTGTGAGATGTGACAAAGTGGCACAAAAAGTGTATCAGTATAATGCCAACACCTCTTCATTGAGTTTTGTGGGATTTCAAGGGGTTTTCCATTTTCTCACCTGTGTTGATAATGTGCCTTTTTATTGTTTGATATCTAACTAAAACCACTGGCGATCTGACACTGTGGCTAAGAATATCAGTATTTTCCTTTCCTTGTCTTTGTGAAAAAGGTAGTCTTATCCTTAAAGGGAATCACTGAAAGAAGATTATCAGCAAGACAGATGAGACCTAATTTCCCATGGAGCTGTGTTTTAATCTCTTCTTCCTCAGGTTCACTTTCAGCTCCTTTATACATATCTTACACAGTTTCATTGCATCCTCTGATTCAGAGCTGTGTGTGTTAACACATAAGCCAAAATATGCGTATGCACTGATCACATAGGTGCTCTCTCTTCAAACAGAAAAGATGCAGAATTGTGTCTGTCTTTCCCTCACCAGGAATTGGGCTTCTTTCCTCTTTCCAGCAGTTTCACAGAACTTGTAAGAAGGTCAAGTCTTACAGATCTTGCATCCCTTCTGTAGTTGGATGTAGTAGTTGGCTCTATCACTGACTTTGAGGGTAGGAAGCAGGCAAACGGTACAGTTGCACAGGGGTTATTCCCTTACACCACCAGGCTAAAAGGGAAGAACAATTTGGGAATGCAAAGAAGTTTTCAAGTGTTGCATATGTTGAAAGATTGAGTTGTGTAACTCAGATACATGGAAACGAGCTGCTAAAATTATGTTTAAAAGATAGCTAAAGAATAAGGAATAATGTTTTAAAATGTGTTTTGTGATTGTCAAAAATAAACTCTGTTAGCATGCTTTTACAGTTCCTCCTTGTCATCCTCTTTATGGTTATACTCTTAGGATGTTTCTGTTTACCAATTTCATTTTCTCCTCCTTTTCTTTTGGCACCCTTTTGCTGTACTTCAGCAGTAATGAGAGACTACATTTCTGAATAACCTATAACCACAACAGCATATGAAGGAAGACTGTAAGTCAGAGTAAAGTCTGTTTCCTGTAAAGCACTGATATAGATCAGAAAGTGCAGATGACTACAGATGACAGCAGAAAACCTGGTCTGCAATGCTACTCATTAGATCAAAGACAAGGACAACACTTGGTCTTATGAGCAGAACATCCAAATGGCTTAAGGATGAAGTGTTATCCCCATAATGCATTAAGGGGGGCAAAAAGGAGCAGTTTTCCTACTGCTGATGTGTATGTTTGGAAAAGCAGAATAAGTAGAAAAGAAACCTAAATGGAAGTGATTTGGTGGGAGAATATACTGGAGGAAATCAAACCTCTATCTCTGAAGAGAAGACTATTAGTTTTTGGGTTTTTTTTTCATAGGAAAAGATATCTGAAGTCTGCCTTGGTGATGGCTGAGGTGGTTACAATTCTGGAGTAGAGATTTCTGACTGCAATCTATGCTACCATAATTAAATAAATAAATAAATAAATAAAATACCATAAATAAATAAATAAATGAATGAATGAATGAATAAATAAGCCCACAGTGAAATTTGGAGCTGACTGAAGAAATTAAGAGTAGAAATAATGGGAATCAGAACAAAAATACCCTTGCGGTAAAATAAGGTAGAAAAAAGTATGCCAGCAATCCAGCAAAGACATTGTGCCCACCTCATCTGTCTGAGGAAGGGGAAGTTAAAAAGTTGGCATGTCTAATGCCCAAACACATCCCTCCTACCTGACCCTGCACTTTCGTCCATCCTGATGATCTTCAGCCTCTGTGTCCAGGGATGATGGGAACTGCCTATCTGAATGTATTGGTGAAGTGTATCTGAAACAATAGGTCAAAAGTGCAGCTTTTCATTTGGCTCTGGCCCAACTCACACTTTGCTCTGACAGGCTAACTCTTGCCTGAAGTTCTCCTGAAGTCACTGAAGAACAGCATTATGCTCCTTACATCTTTGAATTTAGCAGTTATATACATATTCTTCTCGAGATTTTGGTGCCTATCTGGAGTTGCCTTAGGTTTTAAATATCAGCCACAGTGCATCCAGTCACTATCATCCCAGAAGTTTTTCTCCATCTAGTGAGGCTTTAATTTGAAGGGCAAAGGTGTAGAAGGAAAAAGCAGAAAGGGAAGGGTTGCCTAATACTAACGTAGGCTTTTGTTAACTTATACTTGCACAGAAAGAGTCAAGTCACTTTCTGGCTGCAGCCTATGCATTGTGCCACAGTCCAACATGACGTACTTCTCCTTCTGCCCATGTGGATGCACTTCAGATGTTTCAGCACACATATACAGAAGAAATTTATACTCCTTGTCATAAGGACATTTGCATTTATTCTTGAAAGAGTTTATTTATTTTAGTAGCATTGATGTTGATGTTGTTATTATATTACCTTAGAGAGTGAGGCAAGGAAATATCAGTGGCACAAGAGGAAAATGTAGCTCTTTTGTTCTGAATTTTCACCGTATGCATGCAGCTCATTTTCTTGGGAAACTGAGAACAGCACACGTTGTTTCCCATTTCAGGTTCAAATTCCTAAAAGACTTATAATCAGCAGCCATCTGGTTGCTGTTTAGCGTCCCAGATGAAATGAACATAGTGGCCTGAGCTGTGTGTCCAGAGAACAGGTGCCCGTATCATTGACAATTACCAGAGTAATTGGTAAAAAGGCCATAATCTCTGAGGTATATGCAGTCTTAGTAACCTTTCCATAATGAAAGGGGTTAATTTAATTTTTTTAGGCCATTAAACTATGGAGGATTTCTGTTTGATTTGTTTTGTTTGCAAACAGAAGTGACTTGAGTGTCCCTAATCTTTTTGGTATTGTTGTATTTCTAATATAGAGCCTCACATGACAGGTGCTGTGTGCCTGGTCTGAGATTCCTTGCCTGGAAATAAATGTACTTTCACATTAAAAGAGACAAAATACAAAGGAAAACAGGCTTTTTTTTTTTTAAGTTCAAGTATTCCTCTTCACTGATATTTTTAACTGTGTAGCTAAACTGTCAACAATGAGATAATTCTTTTAAAGCTTAAATAAAAAATTAAGAGCATAAAATATATTGAACAGGAACAGATTTGTAGTGAGTTTTCTACATTTTCTATGAGTAGAATTTAAATTAAATTCATTAATTCAGTAGTCTTCACTTTTCAGAGTCATTTGATAATAATACTATCCAGAAGGAACATGTTTGCTGTTCAGTTATAAAGATAAGCAACCCCAATTGGGCTATTTTTCAACATATTGAAGAGCTTGGATTGCACAGAACTATATATATTCAGAGCAGAGTATTTATATTTTGGGGGCAAGAACCTTAACTTTACTAATAACCTGAAAAGGTTTCAAATCTGACCTTTAGCTTTCAAATGTGAAAGACAGACTGACTTTCCTCTCTCAACATCACAAATGTTGAAAATACTGAATGACACGCTTGTGGTTAGTCCTGTCTGTGATCTCTGCATCATGACAAATACCCCTTTAGTTACCTAGAAAATACTGGTGACTTGTTTTTACGGAGAAATATAAGCTTGTATTTCATTCACACGTATTTCAGTTGAAGTTCATGTACTAATGTCCTTTTTTAAATAAAAGGACATTTTATTCAAGGACTCAAGCTTAGCAGGAACAAAAGGGAAGCAACTCAGATTTTGTCCATATACTCCTCACATTTTAGCTCAATATAAAAGCCAAACATTTTCTAAGTTTAAATATGATGGGTGGAATATCTGGCTCATTAGTTCCTCTGTGGATACTTGCTCTGAAATGTAGGAAATAGATAATAAGCGCAAGTTAGATAGGAAGATCTAGATATTAGAAATGTTGACTTCTAACGGTTACTGATTTCATCCATGTCTTTAGATAAGGTGTACTAGTGGAGGGACCATTTACTCACATCAAGGCCTAAATATGAATGTTTCA